CGGCCTGGCTTTCGATATAAAACTATCATCGTATTACACTTGTATTATGTTTGTATTCGACGCTCATGTGACATATCGTGAGTATCTATCGTAAAAAGCCACGCGATATCGCGTCACTAATTTATGGTGCGGGTGTCGAAGCTCACACTTATGTGGCTAAGACCGATTCGAAATTTCGATAAATTTATATTCTTTTTAACACCTACTGTGTGTGTCATGCAGGTGTGAAGAAAAGAAAGTTTCATTCGAATGTGTGATATAAAAGTGCCGCGTGTTTCAAGTGCATGGAGTATAATATAACGTCGCTCACACAAGTAGGTATCTGCATTATTACTCGTTGGCTCTGTGGTGCGCAAATTTTTCGCAAAACCGTTATCATCGCGGTTGTTATGGTAAAAAAAAAGATTTGAATCTTCGAATGTACGATCGATGCTATAACTTTCATTTCGTTTGTTAAGAAAAAAAATTCGTTCGGACAAAAAAATTGGTGGATTACAGTTTTACGCGCATTCCACTATTGTCAAGCAAAATAATAATTTACGCTGCAGACAAGTTCCGTGGATAGAGCAACTGATTGTCCTTAATTTCGTATCCCCGCGCGTACACGACTCATCTATAAAATCGCAATGTTCATTGTTCAATTTATAAAACTCGCCTGCAGTGAGATCATAATAATCGCACGCGCGTACAACACGTACTCGCGAAGTATCGTCGATCTATAATATTACGAACGACCAATACCACTGGTTAATAGTTTAAGCCATTAAACGAGCCAAGCGTCCCGATTTTTATTGCCGACGAACTAAACGCGCGATTTTTTTCCGATAACGCGTGAAAAATAAAATCATTCAATTCAGTTCACTCATTGCGCATGTGTGTCAGATCGCGCGCCGGCGGCGGCGGCCCGAGTCCGACGGCAGTAGATCCGTACAGTTTCGGTTTCCCCGACAGATGGCTTCGATCGATTTTTTACCAGCCCACAAGCGAGTAATCAAAAAAAGAGTACAAGTATCGAAGGCGTTCGAGCGACAAGACAAGATCATACTTCACAGGATCATTTCTGTAGTGTATCTTCACAGACTCTCTACCCAAAGTAGGAGTCGATGCAGCCACGAGGATGAGACGTGGCTGCCCATTCTGAGCGTGAGGCTGGCTGCCTCGAGACTCCCGTTTGGGAGGCTCGGCATGCCATCGATGATCGTTCACCTCCGGGTTTCATACTCGGAGGGATGGATGGGTAGCTGTCTGAGTGGTTTGTTTTTATTGAAATAAAACTAAAATAATATTCCTGACCTGAAGTGGATGGTGGTAGAGTTTAGATTGAGATGCAACAAAAGTCCACATCTAAATGGACTCGAATCAAATGAACAATTTCAATTATTAATAAATAAACAAAAGTTGAAAGAATCCCTGAAATTTCAGTAACGTCGATTTTATTATCAAACCTCCAGTCCACCCTATCCATTGGATTAAAAGTAAAACTTCCGGAACTTTATGCAATTTCTTTAAAGTTTCGTGCTTGTTTTTGCTCGAGCGATTTTTTTCGAAAAAATTGGGATGCTTGATCGTCAATGGCTTAGTGCTCATCGTCATTGCAATTCTAGAAGATCGAATGACAATCCGCTGATCGTATTCAAGTATGAAGATAATTTATTTTAAGTTTAGCCGTTATTGAAATCGTATTACTTATGCCAATAATTATTGTTATTATTTTTGTTTTTTATGTACGCGCGCACTCGGTATTGGCGTTGCGTAAATATATAGCACTATACTATAGCGGCGCATAGCTATGCAGTGTGCAGCGAGGCATTAACTTATGCAACGATCTATATAATAATTGCCAGCGAACTAATTCTTATTCCGGAGTATTTTCACTTTTTGCCTCTGCGCGTACACACATAACTCTCGTCGTGCTCGCTGCTGCTGCTGCTGCATCGACGCGAATAAATGCGTTTGGGCAACGCCTGCGAGCGTATCTCGAAGCTCTTTCTACCGTAATAACGAGGAGAACAAAAAATCGCACGAGGCGCGCGACTCCTATTTTTCATATCCGCCGGCGAGTGTCGCGTTGCAACTTGCAATGCCGACAGACACACGCAACGGTGCACAATAAGTCGCATGCAAACGATCGCAAAATGTTTTGCGGGCTGCGTTTGTCGCATTGTCGTTGCTTAACAAGGATCGATCAATTATCGGTCTCGCGCGCGCTTCGAAATAACGTCGAGGTGAAGTACTCGCGTTGTTTTCGTATTTTATTTTCAACGAAGACGACGACAGCGGACAAAACGGTGAACTCCTCCGGTCGATGCTGAAGTAATTCACTCGAATATACTTTTTTTTCTCATGATTTCAATTCTAATGAGAGATCGGCGCGTACATACAATAATATCTCGTATCTTTGGAGTCTCCACATCGGCACTTGTAATATCCTCACGCACACGCATTTGCGCGAATGCCACCCGTGTGAAGGTTTTCTCTTTTCGAAATAATATACAGAGTATATAATACGAAGGCAAAATAATGCTGTATGTCGCGCCGAGAAATTCGAAAAAGTGCGCCGCGCGCGCGGTTTAAAGACAATACTCTGCGTCTTCGAAAGACTATAGCCTGTACCTCGCTAGAGAGAGAGAAAGCTCGTAGTTTAGCTATTATAGTTCCACCAATAAAATATAATATATATTATATCGTACGTATCCGTGTGTGCGTGCGCGCGCGGGCATTAATAATGCATGAGAGCGCGCGCGATGCATATAACGCGATATATTGTACCTAAAAGCATCGTATTCCAAAATTTTCTCCCCGCGAGTCGAGTCATTCGAGCCGCGTGTGTGTTCACGCAATCGCAATTCCAGTAGCGGCAGACTGTAATATATAGAAAAGAGATCGTCTGATTAAAAAAAAAAGAGAAAGAAAGAATTATTAAAGGGGGATTAGTCGGCGTATAAGTCAAATAGGAAAATTGGATATCTGATCTATCTGTTGAGAAAACTGCTGACCGAGCAGCGACGACGAGCTAAAGCGCGCACACGAGTTGTTTGTAACTATTATTATATGACTCATGGCTCGGTCGTCGTCGTTGTCGTCGTCGCAAAGTTAGTCGCAAAAGCCGAACCGAACCAACGATCGACTTAACTGCACACTACTTCCCTCTGCTCCTTTTTAAATCACTTCTCCTCGCGCATATATAATAATATACGTATAGAAAAATGCGTGCAGCGCGTCGCCACTCGTCTACATATGCAAGCAAAAACTGCAGTAAGGAAAGCGCATCTATGTGTGTACATGTATACGTTCGTCCGTCTCTCTCGTTGGCGCGCAACAACACCCACACAACACGTTTTTGTAGGTATATAATACGTATATACTCGGCTGCCGCGCGCGCTTCTGATCGCCACACGCTCGCCCATCCCGTTAATTGATCTCCCTCTGCACACGTTCCCATATGCATTAGACCACGAGCGCTTATATGTGTGTGCGTGTGTGTTTACTGTGTAAAAGTGCGGCGCACAGCCGTTCACATTTTCGGCCTTCCACATAGTAGTGGATTATACATGCCTCCTTTTTATTCCGCTCTTTCTCTCCCTCGCTCGCTCTTGCGCGCCGCTTATATAGTAGTATATAGTTTAGCGCTGCTCCCACACACGTATAAGTACGACGCAGCGAGAAAAACACACGGTGCTCTACGGTCGTCGCAACTCGCAGCAGCAGTCGTATGTATAGTTGGAGCAGGCAGGCAGCAGCAGGCGATCTTCCATCTCGCTCTCGGATCCGGGGGGGTCATGCAAATGCTGCTGCTTTGCGCTGCGCTGACTGCGCTCTATGTAGATTGTACACAGCAGTACCACGGCGTATATAGGATAGCTTATAGGCCATAGTATGCCGAGTATTCGAGATAGCTACAAGCTCCGCGCGCGATTCCTATACCTATGTATATAATATAAGAGACGAGTGGAGTTTCGGAGCCACGATGAGAAAAGAGAGAGAGAGAGAGAGAGAGAGAAAAGAAGTGGAGGGGAATAGGTGTAGTAGTAGTGTATGTATGCCCATAGCTAAGTTTTCATACTAAGCCGAGGCACCTAATAACGCAGTAGCAGTAGTCAAGCCTGCCTCACGCTTAGATCTTCTCTCTTTGCTCATATATAGAGACATTTATCATACAGAGAATCTATTTTTCTTGCTTTTTTTTGGAGAGATAGAAAGAGCGCTAAAAAGAGAGATAGAGGAAAAAAACAACATGACGCGTATCCGAGTCGACGAAACGACGGGCCCTCCATCGCTACATCTGGCCATTGACATTTTCACCTACATTTAATACCGAGAGAAAGAGAGAGAGAGAGAGAAAAAAACGTGTGTCACTATACTACTATATACACAGCGCTGTGCTGCGAGGGAGATTAGGTCGGAGCGACTCCGCGCAGTTTTTAACGCACACACACACACGCAGCTGACACAAGAGCGCCGAGCGCAGTCTCGCGGTGCGGTGTGCTGTGTTTATAAATCGCAGCTCTCATCATAGGTAGTAGTACATATTGTGATTTACGCGATCTCTCTCTGATACACATATATACCTATATATATATATTGTTACACGACGATGCATTGTACCTATGTGCAGTTGTGACTGACGTCGCTGTCGTTGTCGTCGTTGTGTCGCCGCCGCGCTGCAGCCGCCGCCAGTTGCTGCTGCTGCATCCGCGCGCACGAACTGTAGGGTACCTATATAGATATACATATATATGTATGCAACGTCGTGTGTGTTGTGCATGCAGTAGTATACATACTGTGTATATATGTGCGCGAGTGCAAAGCGAGCTCCAAAGCCGTGTATACGTGTGTGTGTGCGTGTGTTTGTGCGCGCTCAGTGCTGTGCTGTGCATAATGTGCAGTGAAAATTTCGACGTTCGGAGCTGCGAGCTGCAGCAGCAGGCAGCAGCGACAGCGGCAGCAGTAGTGCACCTAGTGTAGTCGGTACGTACAGTACACACAAACACACACATCACATTTTATCTATAGTATATATTCGCAAATATATCCCCTTACATATCCTGTAACGCGGACTCCGAATCGTGTATCGTACGTAGTGGATATTAGTCAGAATGTTTATGTGACGACGATGATGCGTTCGGTGCGATATTATAGAATCGGCAAATGTTGAGCGTCGACAATGCGGAGAGCAAAGGCCATTCGTGCGTCGTTGTCCGCGAGCACGACTAGTATTAGCAGTAGCATCACCAGTAATACGACGTCCTGGAAGAAGAAAAAGAAGTCCGCGAGCCACGTCTGATATATTACATCCTATATATATATACATCATCGAAGCCGTGTGTACACACCTATATGTAACTATATATACATATGTTGTATATGTGTAATCCCGACATCGTCGTCGTCGTCGTCGTCTCTCGTCGCGACCGAGTCCTATATCGCTCGTAAAGCAGCGGCGCACATTATACACACACCACAAGAGTTAGTGCGAAAGAGAGAGAGACGGGACGGGACGGGCTAGCGTGTGCAGTGCGCGAGGAGAGTGTTGAGAAAATATTTGGAGAAAGATCGAGTCTCGAGAGTCGGTGCTGCGCATTCTGCAACATCATCATCAGCATCAGCATCGTCTCTTTTCAACATCGCGCGTCTCTCGCGCCCGACTCCTCGATATACAGTGCGGTTGAAGCGGCGGCTGTGTACTACATAGTACTACAATATGTATGTTGCTGATGCTGCTGCTTCCCTATCTCGTACATACATTTATAACGTGAGTGTATAAGTGCGTTGTATATACACGTCTATATATTTATATACACGAAACTCCGCGGAGTGTGTAGTTTTGCGTGCTGCTGTAACTATCTACTGCTAGTGCTGCCTTACAATGTATAGCTCGCGAGAAAGAGGAGAGCGATTATAGTGTCTAGGTTATAACGAGGTCGTCGCCGTTTAGCGAGAAAGAATACGTAGCGCTGGTTTTAACGACGATATATAAGTACGCGTGTAATAATTCATGCATGCGCGATATTTATTCGCGACCGAGGACTCTTTTGTGCTGCATCGTGTGCGAGTCGTCATCGGCTGGCTTCGGCAAATAATGTGTAGTAGTACGAGCGATCGCCATCGTGTTTAGGTAAGGGATTTTTACACCTGTGCTGCTGACGCACACGACTCCGGACTCAGCATAAGAGACATTTACTCACACACGTAGGCATATTATACATACACACGCGTCGATTGTCACGCATAATTTCGATAGTTCTTTTTCTCGCTCCATGGGCCTAATACTTTTAATGCCCTGGCTTAAACCTGTTCGTAAAAGAGCCGTGATTAGTATCTTATTTTTTTTTGTAGCTCTCTGTGCTGCTGCTACACGTAGTTGTAGAATATATACATGGGCGAACGTAAGATGTGTGAGTGAGTGAGTGAGTGTGTGCGGATATATAGGTACAATGCAAGAGTGCGATGATCTACATACTATCTAGTACCGAGGCACTGGGGGGCCCCTTTTAAACTTTTTGTCTTGCTCTCGGACACAATGTATACAACGCCATGCACTCCTCTATTCGCGTTCCAAGTATCTATACTATGCACACAGACACACACACACACACACGCGATACGCGGATACGACAGCCGATGTCATCGCGGAGTGAATTTCGCGTTTAGCTACGATCGATTTTCGTGCGAACTTTTTCTTCTTCTTTCCATTTTTCTGCGCAAATTCTACGAAGTCAGCACAGAACTTATTACCTTAATACTCGGGAAAACGTACGGACACGTTTACGACTCTTGGCTATACCTGATAGTTGCTCGCTCTCTCTTTCTCTCCCGCACCTATCGCGTAAAATAGTTTTGTTGTTATAAATACACTATGCATAATTTACGCACGCATGGCAACCCTTCAACGCTCGCCGTTGATGAATGAATAATAACAATAACGACAGAATGAAACACACGTCAAGCCCCTTTTGTGCCACACAACGTAAATACGCTTTCGAATTTTGAGGATACGTCAGTCGCTGTGTATAGTTGCGCGCGGGCTTGGCGATCGCTCCGGTTTTTCTTCGTAAGTAATCTCTCGTGTGCGTCTCTCCTTCTGTTTTTATATATCTATTTAGTTGGGAGCTACGCGTGTGTTCACCCTCGCGTGTGCGTGTGCAGTACAGTACCTTATAAATATATCTCTCTATCACGCACATTTTTGTTACTCGCCTCTTTCTCGTCGTCGTCAGCCAACTCGAGAAATCGATCGCGAGAATAAGATTCTTCGGCTTCTAGAGATTGGCTGTTAGCCCATTGTTTACGATCGGTCTGTCTGATTATCGTCGGAAGCTTTATATATATTTTAATACAAAAAACGTAATACATACATCACACACTTCGTATACGTATTATAACACGCAGATGCCAAACAAGAGAGAGACGATATACTACGTTTATCAAGGGAGACAGACGACGTTAGATATAGAAAATCTGATGCGAGAACACGAGAGTGCGAGAGAGAGAATGAGTTAAAAATAGCCCAGGTGTGTATCTATATACACACAGCTTACGTGCAGTGTACGTGCGAGAGAGTATACATACACCGTATGTATAACTCGCGAGAGAGAGAGAGAGACAAGAGTGTAAGAGAGAGAAAGAGAGACTAAATCGAGATTCAGCTCTCATCGTTCAGGTATGCTATAATAATACTACTCCCGGTGTATACGCCTGTGTGTGCGTATTAGAGCCGCACATGCTCGATCGGGTTATTTTTATTGGCTTTCGAAAAAAAACAACGGAAAAAAAGATGAATAAATAAAAGCGATTTCCTCATTGTTTATCCAATCTCTCGATTGAATACGTATATATAATACCGGTCGTCGCATGTAAGCGAAACCAAAAAGCCCACTCTAGTGCGGCTAAACGAAGCGTTGGATGTTTAGTCGTCGTCTCTTTCGGATCGGAAGCGAAGTATACCTACTGTACGCGAGAAGCTCGCCGAAGAAAAAGCTCGTGGCGATTCGTGCACATAGCTGCTGCTGCTGCTGCTGCTGCTCTAGTCAAAATTATCATATACTTATATACTCTGGGGGGCAGGATGTATAGAGCATCTATACGGAGAGAAGAGAGTATATATACACACCACTGGCATGATGTGTACTCCAACTGTGTATGCTTGTGTGGGTAGGAGAAAGAGTGAGATAGAGAGAGAGAGAGAAACGCAAGAGCAATATACGCGCGCCCCTTGGCTATTTTGGTCTAATACTTACTGTACGACATAGGACTTTTTATTTACCAAAGCGTGCCCGGAGAGCGCTTTATACTCATATGTAAGACGACGACCAAGTCTAGCTCGTTCTGCTGCTACTGCTGCTCATGCCTCTCTACTGCCGCAGACATGTGTGTGCTTCTCTCGGCTCTCCGAGTGTGTGCGTGATGTATAAGCTTTCGCATTGCTAGAAGGTACTCAGCTTGTGAGATTCTCGAATGCCTCTTGCGAGGAAAACGTCGTCGTCGTCGTCATGTTTGTTGCATTGTGCGTGTGTGAGTTCGCGAGCTTTCCTCGGGATTATGTAAGATTTTTACCGTGGAAATCGTCGGAATTTTGTTATTAATTTGATTGAGAGCTCTCTTGGCTCGACGTGGAGAAGCTCAGAGAGAAAGAGAGAGAATCGTATGCTTGCGGGAAAAGTATTAATGTAGCTTTTTTTCCCTTTTTTTTTACATCACTGACGTATGTCAAGTTTATTTGAAAAAGAGTTTTTCATTCTTTATTGACTAATTTTTCTATCAAGTTTGAGACATGTATTGTCTTAATAGTCAATTAAAAGTATAGAGCATCAATCAAATTTCATTTGATTGAAGTAATGATTCATTTTGGTTCCAATTCTCTGTGTACTTTGTAATCATATGTACTTCTCTCTCTTTTTGAAATAAATTAAATTCATAAATAGAATTTTATAATCAGTAGAAAAATTAAATAACTAATCTGATGATTTTTTATTTGCAGCAAATCATCTTTCTGTAATGAATTCAAAGTCTAGAAAATATATCATTATTTTCAAAGATGACAGAAGTAGCACTGAACGAACGTGTTGAGAGCTTGTCCAGAGCACCTGTGATCGTGTCAGAAACATTGCATAATTATAATCATCCTTCATCCAACAACATGTCAAAGTCCACAAAAACAAATAACAAAGATGGTACGCTTTTCTTAAGATACAAGTAATTCAAAAGTATATAATTGGCAATATTTGTTGTCTACATCCATCATTGTCTTTTTCAGGCATAAATGCCAGGCTGCGTCAATTAGAGGCCCTGTTCGTTGGTGGTCCAGTCCAGGGTGGTAGAATGGGCCACACTTTTTCAATCGAAACACTTATAGATATTCTGTTGGTTTTATACGATGAATGCTGCAATTCTTCTTTGAGGCGTGAAAAAACAGTTTCAGATTTCATTGAATTTGGTAAGTTGTTGAAAAGCTTTTTCCACAAGAATAAGTTTTAACCTTCAATCTATATTAGAGTAGCAATAAATTTTACAAGTTGTTTATTTTTTCTCTGGAAAAAATGTATGTTGAATTAACAATCCATTGCTGTCTTCATAAACATCTCAACACACAAATACTTTTTATGTATAAATAGACTACAACGTTGAATTTTCTGGGAATGAAAGAATAAATTCCTTTCAGACATTGATGGATAAAATGAATTCAAATAAAACTGCATTGAACTTTTAATAGTTAGCAAACCCAAAAATTAAATGTGCATTTAAAGAATGAAAAAAGTACTTATATATATTTAGATCAATGAACTGAGATGCCAATTGATTGCCAATAGCTAATAATAAACCAAAGACTTCTTTAGACGGCATCAAAACAAAAAAAACCAAAACATTGTTATATAGTGAACATTTCTTTCTTCCACAGTTAAACCAGTGGCAACGTCCATAAAAAACTTGCAGCTGGCTCGTGAAGACTTTGAAATAGTGAAGGTTATTGGCCGTGGAGCCTTTGGCGAAGTATGTGTCGTCAAAATGCGTGGCAGCGACAAAGTCTTCGCCATGAAAATCCTCAACAAATGGGAAATGTTAAAAAGAGCCGAAACGGCTTGCTTCAGAGAAGAACGTGATGTACTCGTTTATGGAGATCGCAGATGGATAACTAATTTACATTATGCCTTCCAGGATGACAATAATTTAGTAAGATACATTTTTTAAATCTTTGTATTTATTATTATGCTTAGTTTTTTCATTGCAATATTATTGTTTTTTCAGTACCTGGTTATGGACTACTATTGTGGAGGTGACTTATTAACTTTACTCAGTAAATTCGAAGATAGACTTCCAGAAGACATGGCTCGTTTCTACATAGCTGAAATGGTGTTAGCAATAGGCTCAATACACGATCTAAAATATGTGCATCGAGATATAAAACCCGATAATGTTTTACTCGATGCCAATGGCCACATAAGACTAGCCGATTTTGGTTCGTGTTTGAGACTTTTTGATGACGGTACAGTGCAAAGCAACGTAGCCGTTGGTACGCCAGATTACATTTCTCCCGAAATCCTCCGAGCCATGGAAGATGGTCAGGGTAGATACGGTCCGGAATGTGATTGGTGGTCTTTGGGTGTTTGCATGTACGAAATGCTATATGGGGAAACTCCTTTTTATGCTGAATCTCTAGTCGAAACTTATGGCAAAATTATGAATCACAAGGTAAGATGTGTTTGTAAAACAGTAACATGAAAACTCTGAGTTCGATTTAATAATAACTGTTTATAAATATTCATAGAATTGCTTTGACTTCCCAACGGAAGATATTTATGAAGTATCTGAGGAAGCTAAAGATCTGATGCGAAAATTGATCTGTAGTTCGGAATTTAGATTAGGTCAGAATGGAATCGACGATTTCAAGGTAATGCATAAGTGTTTCTATTGAATCTTAATTGTCACTTTTGACATCAGACGATGCTGAAAAACGTAAATAATTTTGCTTACAGAAACATCCATGGTTTCATGGAGTTGATTGGGAACAATTACGAAATAATTTACCCCCTTACGTTCCTGAAGTATCCTCGCCAACGGACACATCTAATTTCGATGTTGATGATAACGACGTGCGTAGCTCCGATGCGGTCCCACCGTCAGCTAACTCAGCTTTTTCTGCTCTACATCTTCCATTTGTTGGATTCAGCTTCACACAAGGAAGGTGCGATATCAAACTTTTTATCTTTGTATATAATCTATTCATCGGAATTTATATCGATGATTGTACCTATTAACAGCTGTATATCGGAGTTGGGTATGCTACCACAACACTCACAAAAAGATAAGAGTTTAAAGGAGAAGATGTTGGAGGAAGAAAATGCGCAGTTGCTTCAGACGGTAGCCGAGTTGAGGAATCAAATAAGCGTTAGTCATGCGTCAACAACTATGACCACAGTATCGCCTGACTCCAACAATGCGACGCGAAAATTACAAGACGAAATAAATGTTTTGACTAAAAGAAATTGTGGTACGTAGTATAAATGTATAAAGTGTGCCTTTTTATTTTTAGTTACATAACCACTGTGTACTATTTTTATACAATTGAAATTGCAATAAAAAAATACAAAATGATTTTGTATTTTTAACAGAATTAGAATCTCAGCTGAAATCTTTGGAGGTGCCTCGCGAATTAAGGGCAATTGACGGCGGCGACATGTCAAAAATCAGAGAATTGGAGAATCTCGTTCGAACTCTACGAGCAGAAAAAGAGGAAATCGTAAAGGAAAAACTCGATACTCTGGAAAGGTTGAAGCAACAAGACAAAGAATTGAAGGATGCGTTAACACAACGTAAATTAGCAATGGAAGAGTATACCGAGGTAACGGATAAACTGTCCGAACTTCGATCACAAAAACAAAAGTTATCACGCCAGGTTCGAGATAAGGAAGAAGAACTGGAGCAAGCCATGCAAAAAGTTGACAGTTTACGGGGGGACATTCGTAAAGCTGAAAAACTGCGACGAGAATTAGAAGGCAGAATAGAAGAGGCAATCGCTGAAACGGGTAAGGAAAGAAAGTTGAGAGAACGCAGTGAAGAATACTGCAAGCAAATGCAAGAAGAAACAGAAAAAATTAGGCAAAGAGCAAGCGGCAACGATACGAGCGCGAATCATGCTATGGCCACTCAAGAAATAAATCGGCTGAAGGCAGAAGTTGAAAAACTTGAAGTTCAGTACAATGATAATCTAAATCAACAACAATTAAGGTTAGCCATTATTTCTAATTTCATCGGCTCGTTGCTTTTATACTTATACTCATGTATTATACTATACCTAAACAATTTTTTATTTTATTTACAGATTTAATCAAGAAGTTCGTGGACTTCAAGAACAATTGGCCGAAGCAGAAACTCGCCGTGAGTTACTGGAGCGCGAAGTACATGTAACAAAAGAAAAATTAGATAATGCCCGATTAGAAAATATAACTGACAGCGAAGAAACAATTAGCGAACTAAGCCGTCGACATGATCGAGAAAGGATGATGCTGATGGAGGAAAATAAAAAGCTTATGCTTGAACTTGACTCCTTGAACGACAGCGTCCTTCGAATTCAAAGCGAGCGCAGATCGCTTGAAGACGAATATGAAGAGCTCAGGAACAAAAAGGAGGCCATTGCCCAGTGGGAGGCACAAATTACCGAAATCATTCAGTGGGTTTCCGATGAAAAAGATGCCAGAGGATATCTTCAAGCTCTCGCCACGAAGATGACGGAAGAATTAGAATTCTTGAAACATTCGGGTGGAGCTGGTATTGGTAGCAATGCTAATAACACGGAAGTCAAGAACTGGCGTAACAGAAGATCGCAAAAACTCGATAAGATGGAACTGCTCAACCTGCAGAGCTCGCTTCAAAGCGAAATCCAAGCAAAGCAGGCTATATCGGAAGAGCTTACAAAAACTCGTTCTGATCATATAGCTGCTCAAAAGTAAGTCCAATTTTACCAGTCGTAATGAAGAGAAAAAACGAGCTAACTTAACCATGACACTTCTAATGTTTTTAGGGAACTGCTTGAGCTGCGCCATCGTATGGAGGGAATGTCACACGACATGAGACGCAAAGATTTACAGATCAAAGACCTTCAAAGCCGCTTAGACACCGGCGACGGCTGTAAGTACCCAATTGAACGTAGTAGCAACAACAATCATGGAAATTCTAAGAAAGTAGCACAATCCTTTGGTAGAAGTACATTTTTGGCCTTGCTAATGGTACAGGCTGCCTTTATCCCGGGTACCTATTTATTTTACAAACTTGTCGGCCGTTTGGTCCGATAAACTTTCGTAGAAGAATGTTGCGTGTGTTTTTTTGCGAGCGACGCCAATTTTTTAGGTGTTTTTTATTTTAAAATATTTTTTATCGTAAACATCGGTCCTCATGAATGATTTTTGTTAAACGATTATTTTTTCAAGTCACGGTATGGACTACCGTAAAAGGTTCGAAAAATCAAAAAAAAACTTTTTTTAGCCATTTTGTATTTAGTGGTGAATGTTATAATTAGATTTAGTATTTTTTACTGTATCTTTGAGTGACACGTAGTCTCGCCTTGTTTTCACTTTATATATTGGCACGAAGAATATACTTGTTCTTCCGCACTGTCACTACAGACTCTTTGTAAGCGTCCAAGAGGATTTGAAAGTTGAAAATTATTATCATTTTCCAAGACTTGTACGTGTAACGTACCAAAATTTCGAGTCGTTCATGTGACTTTTATTAATGTGCATAGTTGCTTGTTAAAAATCAATTTTTTGAAATTGTAACACAGAAAATTTATAAGTTAGATAATTAATTGATTAAATTCAATTCATTTCTGAATCGGGTGTCAATAATATATTTTGTTTTTTAATGATTGATCATTGAATGACTTAGGAAGTTCTTTAAAGTTTTAACTTTGAAACGAATGCATTTATTTAAAATATAATGTAGGCATATACGAATCACTTCTAAATCCTCTTGACTTTATCATTTTTCACTATCTATATATCTTCTTATTAGTTTTTTCTTGAAATCAACTAAATTTCGCGCATGTGTATTATATAGTTCTATTGCTTTCATACTATCTGTGATAAGACTGGACTCTCACCATCTTTATGAATAAAAAAACTATTCTTTTTTATGGAAAATCAACTTTTTTCTTGTCATAATTTTCTCTAGTCATACATGAAGATTCTATTTCATCACTGCTATCACAGTTAGGAAGATATAAATTTATACCTATTTAGACACAAATTGTTAAAAATGATTAATTTATAGGGATGAGCATGTACAGTTGAGAAATACATGAAAAAAGATACATCGTGACCCATAATTAAGTAAATCATTGGAAAAGGACTGCTGATAAGTAAGACGTGTGTTTGATTTGCAATGAAAATATTCAAAATTAAGACTCAAAAAAAGTTACAAGCATGTTAGTGTCTTGAATGGAAAATTTCTCTTATTATAATCGAAAGCTTGAATGACACTTTTAAAGCATAGAGAAATTTTCCAGAGAGACAGGACTACTCAAGTTATTTCCACTGATAACAACGTCTTTACACTTACAAATAATTCAACTTACAAAAGTCACTTTTCCACTCTAAGCTGATTAATTTTAGACTTAACAACAAGTGCACATAGGGTACACAAGGAATCGCGAAAATTATCATAAGAAGTGTAAAAAATTTTACACCGCTTGAAAATGAAAAATTAGCAAGGACGGTGTCATTACAAATAATTGAATCTGCGATTTGCGCAAATGTAGGAGCAAAAATTAAAAACCAAACAAGGACTGCGATCGCACAAGGCTGAAACAAAAGTCTGAACGAAGATCGAACGAAAAAAATAGGGATAAAAAACACACATACGAGCTGAGATACCGTATAAACTCAGGGTTGTAACAGCTAGAGAGAACAATGGTATCGTTTTGTTTTTTCTTGTTTCTGTTTGGCAATTCTAGCTTGCAAAGTGCCTCTATTTATCGGCGTAACGAGCTGTGTCTGGGGCCTCTTATTGCTCATCATCAAACTGTATTTGTGACAGCAGCTAACGACGGGCCTCCAATCTGCCTCGAGCTGCCGCTGCTCTTCAACAACAACGACAACAACAACAACGACGATGATATCAACGTTGGCATCGACGATCTGCACCAACGACTACTATTATCTAAGCAACATCAGCAGCAGCAGCAACGAGGACACGTGCAGCCGAGGCGAGTCCTCGTGGTCCAAGGACATATGCCCGAATTGATGCGTCCGAATGTTGTCCTCGGTTGCGGAAGCCGTTTAACGTCGCCCGGTAAAGAGCCCAAAAAAAAAACACGCGATCGATGCTGCGCGCTGCTGGATTTCCCCGCGCATCAATCCTCCCCATTACCAAAACAAAAATTTTAAAAAATTGTGCGTGTGTGTGACACATTCTCACGTATGATTGCCCATTGACGATGGCTTGAATTTTGAGACCTCCCAGATATACAGTTATGTATAAAAAAAATAAACATACACATACACGTACGATCGTTGACAGATCGCTGCTCATGCTGCCTACTACAACACACAATATGCCAACTCGAAGTTGATGCGATAAAAAAAAATTGGCCGTGCCTCCGCTCTCCTGCAACGGCAGTAGCAAATATCAGCGGGAATTGAGTTTTTCGTTTGCTGTGGATTGTTTGAAGCTGTTAACTGCTGCTGCTCTACTCTCCTTGAATGTCAGCTTGAATATTTTAACGAGCGAACCGTTCGTCTGACATGAACGATCTGACATTCGAGGTGGTCGTCGTAGAAAAAAAAAATAGATTATGCTTTAGAGCATTGCAATCTCTGAGTGCAGAACGCTGTGTTTTCAGTATTTAATTCAAGGAGCGCCAAAGATGAATTTTTTATTGTAAATAATTTAAGTAAGAGGTACAAAAGAGGTAATCAATAGTTCAAGAAACCGTGTATATATCTCTCATAGATCTTGAATAATAATCATGTAATCTCATAATTGGTAAATTGTTCTATGCCATGTACGACGTATACGAATCCAATTATGATATGAAGTTTTTTAGGTAGTGATATTCTTTAACTCCGATGCCTGTATTCTATACTATCTTATACGCTTGTTGTTTGTATTTTTTTTCTCTTCTAACTCGCCCTCTCTCATTGCATGACTTGCTTTGTATTTGTAGTTGATTTATTTTTGTTTCTGCAGCACGTGCTAGTTTTCTCTCCATCCTATAAAATAAGTAATTTATTGCCACGATGAGTGTGTTAAATCTTACCAATTTTCCTGAAACATGACTCCGCTGAACATTTGTTTTGTTCTTTATTGTCGAAGAAGTGAGTTGATTCCGTTATAAGATGAAAAGCATCACCACTGCGACGGTTTAGTAACACGAGAGTGTGAATTTTGCAATGATCTAGTGCCTGCAGGCATTGAGTTCTTGCATTTTAATGATTCTACCATGTAATGAATAGTTACTTGGTTAATAAACGATCGATGCGACGATAAAAATGGCTTGTCACCGCTTATCCGACAAATAAAAAATTCTGCCCTCGAAACTCGCTTGATGAAAAACAACTACTCAGCTGGTTTTATTGTCTTTTTTTATGTAAAGTGTCATAAGAATGGTTTACACTTGCCTTTCTCTGACGATAATCAGTATAAATGATACTGAGTCAGCGCCAAAAGACCTAACCCAATGCCAACAATTTTGAATGAAATTGAGCAAAAACTTAACAAGACTTTGAAAACTACGAATAATAATCATTAACCCTGCCTTCTTATGATCGAATAATTTTGATTTTTATTCATCGATCGAAAGTTACAATTGCGACTGGCTTGCACGGAAAATAAAAATGTAATTTATGATTTTGCAGTTCTGGAGCGTCCAACATCCCAAATGTCGTATCTGGAGCACTTCTTGAAGGAGACCTCTTCGGCCACGGGCGGTAACATGGGTGGCGGCAACGGTAGCGCAGCGGCAGCGGCGGCGGCGGCGGTCGCGGCTTTGCGCCACGGGAGCATTGATAGCGCCGACGGTGACGTCGAGGACAATCGCGCCCCCAGCATCACCAGCAGCAAGAGTAACTTGTCCGAGCTCAGCATTGTGAGTATATCGTCTGTCCTTTTTTTCGGTTCCCAATGATTTTGAAAGTTTTTCAAGCAATAACATTATCCACCTTTAACAGGATCCGACATCGCCATTGTCGCACGACATGTTGAACAAGTCATCGGTGTCGGACAACTATGCGAATCTTCAACACAAACCGAAGGCCCATCAATTCATCGTGCGCACCTTCACCGGCCCCACCAAATGCAATCATTGCACGTCTCTCATGGTCGGTGTCATTCGCCAAGGCGTCGTTTGCGAGACTTGCGGTTTCGCTTGTCACGTCCAGTGCTGCGAGAAGGTGCCATCGGTCTGTCCAGTTCCTCACGATCAGAGTAAGCTGCAACTTCTTACAAAACGTTGACTCGCAATTAAACTCGGTATCTTACTTCGGTCGCATTATTTTAGCAAAACGACCGCTTGGCATCGATCCAACGCGCGGCATCGGCACAGCGTACGAGGGCTACGTGAAGGTGCCGAAAATGGGTGGCGTCAAGAAGGGCTGGGTTAGGCAGTTCGTCGTCGTGTGCGACTTCAAGCTCTTCCTCTACGACATTTCCGATCGCAATGCCATGCCATCGGTCTACGTGTCGCAAGTGCTCGACATGCGAGACGAGGAGTTCAGCGTCAGTTCCGTGCGCGACTCCGACGTTATACACGCTACGAAAAAAGACATTCCCTGCATATTTAGGGTAAGTATATGACGCGATCCTCGCAGGTGAATAATACTGTCGTTTTTAACACGATGCCTATTAAATTGAATAATTGTTATTCCGATTTTAAACAAAATAATTTAACTTGGTACATTAATCTGATTGCCATTGAATAAGAGAAATTAAAAAAAAGATTACGTCGACAGACCGATATGAACTGTAATTGTTCTAAATGAAGTAACTAAAATTCCTCAGTGTCGTATAATTTTTTTAACTGTAAATGAATAAGCATCCAAGAATTATTCGCCAGTAATCATGTAATAAATAATAAGGCCCAAACGATTTTCAAGGGAAATATTTCACATGTATGTTTGTGTGTATGCAATTCAGATAACAACGTCATTGTTGGAACCACCTGGTGTGCGAAATCACACGTTAATGCTTGCCGATACCGAAAGTGAAAAAGCTAAATGGGTAGTGGCCCTCAGTGAACTACATCGAATATTGAAAAGGAATAATCTACCTAATACAACCGTATGATATCTCACATTATTATATGTTTATTAATTTTATGTTATGTTTTTATAAAAATTTAATTCAATTAATATTTTTCAACGGCTTTGTTGACGTTCATGAATTTAATAATCACGTCTGTTTTTCCATGGCTCTAAAGATATTCCGAGCGAAAGAATTGTTGGACAATACACTGTCGCTAATTGTCATTAAAAACGTCATGTCTGGAGCTGTTATTGATCCGGATCGTCTAGTCATTGGCAGCGAAGAAGGTTTATTTTGCCTGGATTTAGATCGAAGTGGTGAGTTTAATTATTTTTTCTGGACCTATTGATTAGAGAAGCTTTAGATTGATACGGTTGGCGTAATGAAGCTTCGCAGCGTGGCTAAAAATAAATCTTTCATTTTATTTTTAAATAATATTTAAATTTACAAACGAAAATCTAATATTTTCAAATTTCATTATTTGTTTAACTTTTAAAAAATGCTTAACGATTATCTTTGTATTAGTATCTAAATTGAATATAATTTTTTAGAAATTGCAAGAGTGGGCGAAGGTAAAAAAATTCATCAACTTGAATACGTGACGGAGGAACAGTTAATAGTGGTGCTAAGCGGCAAACAGCGTCATGTGCGCCTCGTGCCTGTGCGTGCTCTCGATGGTGATGAGGTCGAATGGATCAAAGTGGCCGAAACCAAAGGTTGCATCGCACTCACGACCGGTGTCATGCGGCGAAATCCTGTGACATATTGTTTGTGCGTAGCTATAAAAAAACAGGTGAGATTTTTTTCCTCAAATTTTGTATAATTGCCAATCACATAAGTTGAATCTAAAATTGGTTAATCATGTTTCTAGATTGCTTCTCAGGTCATAATTTATGAAATAACGCGCACGAAGGCACGCCACAAGCGTTTACGAGAACTGATGCTACCTTGCCAAGCTCAAACACTGCAAATTTTACCCGAAGGACGCCTCTGTGTTGGCTATGCTTCAGGCTTTTCCATTTACAGCATTCATGGGGAACATCATCCTATTTGTGAGGATTAAACTTGAAAAATAGTGTATTATCGTAAAAAGCTTTCAGAATATTAATTAATTTCCTTTTCATCACAGCTCTAGTACACCCAGAAAATGGTAGTCTATTGAATCTGATGACTTTCAATGCATTGGATGCATTCAGATGTATCGAATTACTGAATGGAGAGTATTTACTATCTTTCTATTCACTGGCTGTATACGTTGATGCTCAAGGCAGAAAGAGCCGCGATCGCGAAATCATGTACACAGCTTATCCCACGGCAGTCAGCTTTTGTGAAGGATATTTAATGGTCTACAGTGATACGCACATCGATGTATTCGACTGTCAATCTGGTGATTGGCTGCAGACGCTAAACGTTAAGAAGGCCAAGCCATTAAATCCGTCTGGTTCCCTTACTAGTTGCGTGATCAACGACATGCCACATGTTATTTATTTAGGTAATATACGGCAGCGTGAGTATCTATGTGAATTTTTTAATAAATTTAGAACTTGAGACCTATTCCGATACGTTTATTTGCAGGAGAAATGTTAAATTTGGGAGGAACTTTAGACCCAAGCGGTAGACCAATAACTCGACCACGAAGAAGATTCTCGCTTCGAGAGGGCAATCGAGCTGCTCGTCCGACGGATCGACGTTCTAAAATGATATCTGCACCAACGAATTTTAATCATATCACACACATGGGCCCTGGGAACGGAATTCAAGTAAGCTTGTTGTTTTTAATATACTATACATAACGTAACAGGGAACGAGAAATTAATTGATTTTGAATGTATAGATCCAGCGTTTATTAGACTTGCCAACTACTTTAGAAACAGCTGATCAGCAGCAATATACAACAACACATGCAAGTGGGCATTTCCACACTAGTCCTCAACAACCTCAGCCTGTATCTCAAACACAGCCCCAGCCACAACAACGAGTATGTAGTAGTTCTAAAAAATTAATACAGCTCTTGTTTGGAGAAAAGGTGCATAATTCTAAATAAATGTGTTATTAGATTTACGGCACAACAGTAACACCTCCAAATAAGCCAGCACCACTGCCACCGAGACATCCACCATCAGATACCAGACGATTAAGTTCGCACATGACCCGAAATCCTGGTTATTCGCCCCATAATGGTATAATTCGGATATATTTTAAAGTGTTTTTTAGAGTGAATCTACAGTTTGAAATAGTACCTTAGGTTCTCATACTTTTTTTTCTGTAGGTTCTTCCGCGCCAAGAAGAGGACCAGCACCACCAAGACCTACGGCTACCCCACCGTCTCTACCCCGTACCCCAGTCGACCAAGTCGATTCAGATTCCACTCACGTGCGATCCCATACACCTCACTCGATTGGTAGTATTGCTTCGCTTCAAGACAAGGTAAGAGTTTATTTTTAAAGTACAGTACATGAAGTCTAACGTTCGTTGGATGGAAAAGTTCTAAAATTAGTAGTTTTTTTGTTTTTTTTATTTTTTTTAGTTTAAGTCGATTTAGTTGATTTCAAATCGAAGATAGATAATTAAATGAATATTTTATGTAGGAGCATGTATCAGGAGGTAGCCCGCGACACTCGATTGCCTCAAACAACAGTTCCAATCCATCTACGCCACCAAGTCCTGCTCATGATCATGGATCCTCATCATACGACTCATAAACAACGAGCAATAGAAGATAAATGTTCATTTTGGTTGATGGCCTATGAAGTCTCCGATACATAAGACTTCTGCATAAGCATAATGCTCTGCGTTTTCATAATACATTCAAATCGGTATTGAGACGCAGATCGATTATCTTGGAAACAAACTTACTATAATATGATTATACTGGTAGTACTGTTTTCCCTTGAAGATTTACAACATGTACATACGTTTGCATATATGTATGCATTATTATATATACGTTATAAACACAAATCTCTTTTACCCGGAAAAGTTACCGTTGAAGAGGATACATTTTTGACCTTATATGTACAGTCTTGATACATATTTTTTAATTATAGAGTATATATAATACCAGCGATGGGTAGTAAGAATTTGAATGAATTTTTCAGAGCGAACGAAATGATTTTTATCATAAAAGATGCCTGTGTATAGTTCAGTTATTGATATGCATAATAATATTATAATAATAAAATTATTAAAATACGCTCTGGCATGAGACGATTGACTTATGAATGAAAAAATTTGTAAACGGCTTTTCATCATAAAACACGCGCATGAGTGTTGAGTTTTCACAAATGCACTTAATTAAATTTTTCAAAACGCATTAAATGTGTCTTGAAAAATTTGATTTAGTTAATATAAAAAAAAAAGAGAAATAGAATTTTTTTATAGATGTTTTCATATTTTTCTTTTTTAAGCACTCAAACAAACAAAAATATCGGAGGTACTGATGCAGCGAAAATAATTGAACATTGTGTTCATGCATAAGGTGTAGTGTTCACTTAGTGCAGTAAATTTTAGAAAAATTATTAGATTAGTATTTCATCGATCTTTTGCGATTTTTTCGTAAAAATTTTTAGCACATTTTTATTAGTGAATTAATTCATTTAATTTCACTTTCAAATGAGAGAAGAATATCTTTAATTTAAGATATTGAACTTGTTTTGCGACCTTTTATTCAGAAATAGTATTATTTATTGTGTGTTTAAAATTATTTCAAGCGTGTATATTACTTGAAGAATATTTTTTTCTATGTCATTTTTGCATCTAGTTTAAGAAAATTTAAATTATACTTATAATTATTATGTGACGTAACTTCACTATAATCATTGTACATAGAATAATGTTATGAAGAATCAGTTGCGATATTAACGAGTAAAATTTTATGGTATTGTAACAGTCGCCATGTATACATCCTTGTTTTGAGTACTTCAACTATGAATAGATCATTACTTATATGTATCGATAAAAATCATTTAAAAAACATAATATCGAAATGCCTATCAGATAATAATAATATTAATAAATAGAAAAAATGACAAAAAAGTCATGAAATATAGCAATAAATTTACTATGGTACTTGAATTATTCAGCTGGTTTTTGGATTTTGCGTTGAGAGAAAAAGTAATTGTATGAAACGATAAAAAATTGCTATGTTGAAAAGTTTTATAGAAAAATTGTACATTTAATGAACGCGTAAATAGATGTACTAAAAATATTAGTCATAAACTATTCGTATGCATGTAAACAAGAGTGAATATACAAAAGACTATTTCTATTGCGATGTGTTAAAAAAATGTCGTATCAGTCAAAATTTGCGTGTGTTTCATGCTTATACAATTTAGTCTGTTTGAATTGTGCAATTTCTGAAAAGCTTCTGAGGCTGACAATATATACATGACAAATAATATAAAAAAGAGGAAAATTTATCATATTATAAGTTGTATGTTTAACAAATACTATTTATTCATATTATGTTTTCTTTCGATCGTTTTTAATCCAAGAGTAAAAACGCTATTGGTGATATACTTAAAGCATACAGGCATGACTTATATCTGATTCACGAATCTTTATCGATACTTGAAAGTTCGCTTACTAACATGGCGCATAAACAACTGAAAATCGTCTCCAACTTTTGATAACGTCATGCTTAAAAATTATACTATATGTACCTTTGTTTTTTAAAACAATTTTATTTCATTTGTTTTATATGTTTTAATAATTTTTATATATTAAAGAATGTGCCGTATTATACACATACAATGTTGCTTTTTATTCCGATTAATGTCAATATTTTAATTTTCATGTTTTCTATCGCTTTTATAATGCTTATATGTTAAAATTAATAGTTGTTTAAACTTTAATTTTTAAAATCATTTTAAAAACACTATTTGTCATGTGTGCACCTACAAAAATTATCAAGCATAATAACATTAAGATCAAACATTTAAGAAACATAAAATAAACTTTCGTGGTAAATTACATTATTTTATTATGATGTAAATTGCCGATGGCGAAAACACCTGATAACTATAAAACGACTTATTTCCGACAGGGATTCAAACTTTATGAAATAATCTTCCATCATTGTTATCTTTATCATTAAATTAACTTTGAGGGTTCTAAAATCAAGAAAATTATCGAACAAACCTAATTTATATACAATTCACGAGTTATACGACACTTTTGTTGTATGCAAGAAATACTTTTATGTTTACTTTTATCGTTACAAGTTAGTACATAATAAGGATAACGACAAACTGTAGTTTTCATATCAACTTGAGTACCTTGAATATACATCTATTATTAAAGTAGATTGTAAGAGTGGGATACAGCGTTTTCATTACATGCTCTAATAGACGTTCTGTAAATAAAACACAATCATAGAAATGCATTGTTGTTTCAACTTTACTGCAAAGAGGATAATTTAAAACTTTTTCAAACTGATTTTGGACCCCTCGATTTTTTAAATGAGAGTATAATAGAATTTTAGATATAAAATGTTTAATGATTAATAAGATAATAATAATATTAAAAATAATAATAATCATTTTAATGGATTGTCATGATCATATAAATATTGCATCTTTTTTATAGTACTTCATACGTATGAACTAAAAAAGATCGCATAACATGCAATAGCGTTTGCATAAGAAAAAGAAAAGAAAAATATTTAAATAAATTTTATTTTTCTCTCAGAATCGTTTGGCATCGCGATACGTTGCAAGTCAACTCGATGTCTTAAAATGTATAAATAAGTTCTTCTTTACGACTATGTGTAAAAAATAAATTATTAGAGAATTAGAAGTTTAATGTATTTTTTGTCTGTGTACATAATACTATAGTTTCATCGCTGAGTGCATTATACATTTTAGGAAAATCTTTTGATTTTGTCGTTTCTGCATTTCTCACATAATTACTATTTTACACTTGTCACTTGAGCGTGTGCAATTTTCTCATCCTTAAAGCCTTATTGATGTAGTAAATTGATTAATTAAAATAATTTGATTAGATTTATGAATCATTATCTTAAACAGATTTTTTTGTGCGCGTTGATAAATGAGAAAATAAAACGACTAACTGTATCGAAAGCGATTCGTGTTTGTACGCATGATTATTCGACTATGTATTCTCTATCCTCTAGATTTATGCGAGAGGTAGCGAATATCGCGAAACGAAACAACTAATAATTATGTTATAACGTAAGCAAAGAAAAAAAAATTTATAGTCAATCGGGTCAATTTGGCATTTGGTATACACAAATTAAAAGTATACAAAAATGCGTGCAATTTTACAAATGTAATTTATAACCAACGATTCTGTTTTTTCGACGTTTTATACACGTATATTAAAGAAAAAATAAATAATACCAAGAATGTGGCGTTATAAAAAAGGACGATCGTACTAATAGTAAATGAAAACTCATAAAAAATAATAATGCATATACAAAATACAATAAATGGGTGTGTTAACTTCATTGTATGAAAGAGACGCGTCAATCGTAGTTGCATTATGACTGAAAATAAGTATATGAAAATTACTGCGCATAATAGGTATAAATAGAGCTTAATTTATATAATCATTTCTTGTAATAATCGCATTTTACAAGAACCTATATAAACGAATGTGTATCCAAAAAATTGATTATTAAAATATGAGATGAAAAAAATAGTTGGAATAATAAAAATGCAGAATTGATTTCTCTTGAAAATGATTTCATTAAATTTAATTTACCAAAAAGTCCTTTGGAAACGGAAATCAAATCAAATTGAGGTAATGTTATAATAAGGTAAAAAAATTAAGCACGATTTAACTTGAAAATGGATATCTTTTAGTAGTTTATTTCATGACGATAAAAATGTTCAGATCAACGAACGTATATACATTTACAGATAAATAATCGGAGATATTGTTTTAGTATCTCTCACATATTACACGTAAGACTTGTGTGAATGACAAAATAAATAATGAGTGTACACATGAAGTAAATTAGTATAAGTATTTAGAATTTATTCTGTATCAAAGAGTCTCGGTAATTTTATGCATAACAAAGTAATATTTTTTTCTTTTTTTTTATAAAAACTGCTCTAAGATAATGCATATATCATAAAAACACTTTCCGGAAGTTAAAATACCTCATTCTAGTATCAACTTGCTTCATTCCACTTTCATTAAACAAGAATCGTTTCCTTGCGAACATTTAAGAAATAATTAAGTTTGAAATAGTTTAACAGTTTTATTATTAACGCACCAAGTACAGGAAAAAAGCGTCTGTATTTTTTTTCAACTACAATATATATTATATTACAATTTATTCGCTGATCAGTGCGACATAAACATATTATAAATCGCTATTTTACAGTTATTATTTAATCCTCACGTGAGTCGAATATTATTTTACACGATAACCCAATTGTTCGAATCCGAAAGATTCAGATCAATTCAGATCAAACATAATATAAAGATATATGCGATAATTCGGCGATATACTTACAAAGAATCGATTGTTATACGTGCACGTTATCTATCCCTTTCAACTTAAATCAATTAACTGGGTAAATAATACTCAATTTTTACGAGAATGAACATAAAGATACGACAAATTGGAGATCGAATCAATGCATTGGCACAGATGGAATTTGGAGTTGACGAAAATCATAGGCTTACGTCCTAGATGCTAATTTACATGGCGGCTACATATAGTGAAATGTAAAAATGTTTCTAATTGTTTCTTTCTTTTACTTTAATCGTTATTAAAGTCTAACTATTAAAGTCTGACAATCCATTGAGCTTTGATTTCATTTAGCGCGAGCTATATGCATTTCTTCAATAATCGGAGTTTAAAGTTCAAATTTTCAGTTAAATAAATTGTTTGTACATACATCATCAAAGCTAAAGAATGAGAAAATAATAATTTATAGAAGCAAAAATATTTATCGTAGTCATTTTAGTGCAAGTCATCAAAGTATGTTTCATATCATGGTGTCAGGTAATATATAGATATAATATATTGTCATTCAAATCTTCATTTATCATTAAAATCGCTCCGTCGACTTATAAGTACAGGTGTAATATAAATAATATTTGTTGAATATTTTTTTCATCGCGATTTATTCAAGTAATAAAAATACTTTCAGTTACGAAGCCAACATCGTTCATAGTTTAATTAAGTGTATCTTATCATTCTTCCCATGGTCATCTTTTTTCTTTTAAAAAATATTATGTAATACCTTTCATTAAAAAAATACAAGCGTTTGAGTGTGATGGCATTAAAGAACAGGATGAAAATTACAACATTGAAAATTGAATTTACACTTAGATCGAAATTAATTTATCGGAAGGTAGTCTAGCCATTATTTAATTAATTAACTGTGCAACAACGGTATTAAACTTGAGCTTTTTGAATGACAGCCGTTTTTTTTACAAATTTTATCGATAACAAGATTGTTTCAGTCTCCTCTTGTGATTTGATTTATTTTTCTTTGTTTATAGGCAATGTTTTTGCGTATCATGCACTTATTTGTCTATTGTATTTTTCAACAATTTACATGCTATCGTTTTTTGTTACTTTTACAATCCTGTTTACACCGTTCTTCAATTACTATTAATCTTTAATCATATTCAATTTCTAAATATATGTATGTAAGAATTAAATGTTACAAGGAAGGCATTTTTACGCTCATTCAAGACAATAATTTGACGCTTACTATTTTACACGATAAATCTCTGTTATGCCTTCATAGAGCTTTATAGGCTTCATGTGCTTATTACATATAATATATAATTTTTTCCGCAATTACAAAATCATGTGGCAGTAAGTTCTCATTGTTCTATCTGACAAATGAACTAGATTCCATTTTATTGTTAGATGAATGTTGTGGGCAAGCTTCATTACAACTAAAAATAAGCTTTGTCATTTGTAAAGAAAATAATGAAATAGTAATTCATATATCACATAAAAAAATTAAATTATTATATAATTTTTCTAAATCACTAGCAATTTTTTCAAAGCTCGTAAACTGTTAATAAAGTATAATATTCGTTATAATATTATTAATAATTTCTTGTACACCACCACATTTTATATTTACAATGGTTAATTGATTCAATAACACTGCTAGTTGATTAAATGATTAAAAGTAACATTTTATATTTTTTACCGATGATATCGAATTTGTTTCATTCCAATAGAAAAGAAAAAAATTCGCGATAGTCACCATAAATCTTGATCAAAAGTTATGTCGTCGCCACATGTGAAATCTTCTCGTAGCACTTGCCAGTAACTCACTACCACTCAATCCATACCTGATTCAGGAGGATCGCGACGAGCCGGGTTGATGTTGCTGATGATCGTTATTGTCGTCAACATCCCGCTCGCGCGAGGGCAGCTCCTGTTACAAGGACATGTCCGAGGGCGGCGTGCTACCGTCGTGGCTCTGGCTGAGCGAGTGCGACAACACGACCGGCGGCGTCAGCCACTGTTTCGGCAGGCAGCGCTGCAGAAACGGGACGCAGGAACTGAAGTAGGCCAGACGATTAACCCAGCCTGGTATCTCTTGATCACATAAAATCTGAATAGCGCAAATGGAGTATTTTTATTTGCAGCAATGAAACAATTATGACATAAGTTTTTCAGTTTAATAAATTATATACCTGAGTAAATTGACTGCTAAAGTGGTTGCAGTTTTTATTCATAAGATGATAACGATCGCCTCTAAAGTCTTTGCCTAATTCATTAATAATTCGATTGACATCTTCTTCTGTGAAATCTGTGTAACCAATGTGTACAGATTGCCTGTAATAGCAGAGGGTATATCATGTTATAATTATATTTAAATTGAATCAATAAATTGATCTATGAATGATATCTATTAATATCATTGTTATTACCTAAATCTGAATTGTTCTCCTAGTTCTTCAGCAGAACGTGGAGGAATGGCAAAAATACCACTTATTGGTAGTGAATGTCCACCATATGCATATTCTAAAACAGTAAAAATATTGATTATATAAAATGATAAAATTATTTTTTAAAAGTAAAGATTTTCACTTGAAAAATAGTTTTTTTCTCAATCTTAACTTTTTTAAAACAAAAGTGAGTCTATCATGATTCAACAAAGTATAAATGATTCATACTTGTCAACCACATAATATTGAACAAATTCATTGACTTACCAGTTCCGTAAATTTCTACTCCTGAATGGAAGACTCCTAATCCCATAGGAGTTGTGTACTCATTGATCCAGTACTAAAAAAGTAAATGTAATTAAGCTAAGGTTTCTTACTAGTAATAGCTTTTAATTATATTTATTGATTTACTTACCATGTCATAGACATTAAGCGTAATAGGTTCTCGAGCCATTTTGGGAATCAATTCTTCACTATCTGGTGGATATCCAAGGCAGCTAGGAAATGGTAAGTTACATCCAATACCTGATGAAAACATCATAGAAATACAGCAATCAACAGAAATTTGATTCAATGGCTCATCTATCTACTCTTCCCCTGCACCTAATAAGCAAACAACACAAATCCCCTAATTAATCTACAAGTTTATTACTACAAGAAGGTTTTGGTGATAAATATACTATATTATTAAGAATTGCAGTACAAGCACTATTATTACATTGTGAGTATAAATATAGATAAATTGTAGGTACTATTAATTTCTAGGAAAGTATTGCCAAATACACAGTGAATCACATTGGTGTATCCTTGTATTAGTCCAATATACCTATTGATCTATAACCTTGAATATTTCATTGAGCTCTTGATTAATTTATTAAATTCTTGATGTTTCATTTACAAATTCAATTCTTTCGTATTAAAATCAAAATTTCAAGATATATAAAAACATCATAATTTCGATTTTGATAGCTGACAAATTTTCTTTGTAAATTTTCATACTGGAAAATGCAAAGTTTATATGTTTTTTTTTCCACTTAACAAACGAATCATGAGCATAAAGAATCTATAATTAGTCACAGAATCATCATCAATAAATTTCCACCTGCTTATGTTACTTGATTCCATATACAATGGTGTGTACGAGCAAAATTCATAATCTCATGGCATTGGCATTAATTTGACGTTAAAAGCCTTGTTACGCGAGAAATAATAAACTCTCGTAAACTGTATGCAATTTTTTTGTGTACATTATTTTTATGCCTACATTATACTGGAGGTGCTACATAACCCGCGTGCGTATTAAGTTTCAATACTTTTTTTCTTATCGCCGAGGTATTATTTGCAGGTGCGATCGTGGAAAAGCCAAGTTAGAGTGGAAATACCATTTTTAATAGAGTACAGAAGTAAGTAAGTGATTATTACACAAGAGTCAGAAATTAATCGAGTAACCCCCCTCGAACAGTTAGGGGCTTAAACGATTAACCCACAAACTAGCGTATATAAGTGTATAAGTATCGGAAGGTCAGAGGTAAGATTAAAGCTAAATGAGTCATAATTACAAGAGTCTATCAAAGATTCGTATAATCATATAGGAATCTTCGCGAGGATTACACAGAGTTGTCCAGGATTCAATTGCGATTCCGCAGCAGAGAAAACTCGTAGTTGTTATTATGACTTATTTTTGCGCGCGGACGACTGACTTGCACTGCACACGCACAACACAGAGAGAGCACAGCAGCAGTAGCAGCAGCAGCGAAGAAATCACAAAGGAAACGAGGAGAAAAAAAAATCACACGCACAAAGCTGAGCGTACGACGATATCTTTCCGAAGTGGAGAGATGTGTGTTGTAACGCGACACTTGGATGGCACACAACAAACAACGTCGAGTGACGACACAACGTCGAGTTCAACGACTGCCCAACAACACAAGTCTGAACGAATCACACGCACTTTATATACGATAATACGTAGGAGCGAGCTTTAATTCACAACAGCTGCAGCATATTCATCGTCATCATCATCATCATCATCATCATGATCGTCGATGATCGTCGACGACGGCGACTAATGTACACCGCGGCTCGTACGACATACGCGCCCTGTTCTCCATACGATCGCGCAAAAAACGACGAGTTTAACTTCAACTCATATGTATAGGACTACACTACAATATTACATCGAATGCATCAGTACCCAGCGCACCAACTGGAGTCGTCGTGTCGTGTGTGCCTACTGCCTCTCTATAATAATACAACGAGCAATTGCAGGCCAAACGACAGCGAGGCTGTAGCAGCAGTAGGCAGCTGGCTAGCAAGCAGCAGCAGCACAATGGGTGAAAGTGCAATCAGCAGCAGCAGCAGGGGGAGAATCAAAGGAGAGGTAGTAAAAACGGAGCGCGCGCTAGCGAGCGAAACGGGGGTGGGGATTAGGTGGGTAGGCTATATAGACGTCGTCGTGAGTGAGCGAGTGAGCCACTGACGACAACTACGACGACGAAGGTTTTCTATTGCGCGAATATATATAAGCCAAAACACGCGTGCGCCGCCGAACCTGCAAAATGCATACGAACTTGATACGAATATGTGTAGGTGGGCCTACGTACCTATGTGTACAACAGCGAAACGTCGCGGTGGATATCGAAAGCTTCGTAGCCGTCGCTCACTCACCTACTGCTGCTGCTGCTGTTCACCGTTGCCCGGGATATGCGATCGAATTGACCGCGAGGCTTATTTGTAAACAATCATAAAAAAGAAAAGAGACCCCCGCTCTCTCGAGTGGTGTGCATTCACGGCGCTGCTCTGGTCAGTCCGTGTGTTTGTGTGTCTCTTTAAATTACCCCTGCGCGCGTGGAAGTACCTAATATCACTCGAGAGCCTCGTACGTACACCGCGCGCGCGAGAAAAGCGCCGAGGGAGCGCTCAAAGTTTATAAATACTTACCTACTATCCAGCAACGAGCGGCACCGTTATAAAGTGTGTCCGCCTGTCCAAACATCGTATAATAAAAAACACGACGAGCGCGTGCATCGTGTGCAGAGCAGCGATCTTATATATGCCTTTTGTATACATGTATGTAGCACGTGCAGACGCAGAGCCACGTTCGCATGCGAGGGTGGTAAAAATACATATAAAGACGCCACTTTTATTGTCCTCCGAGCGCCGCGGTGAGTCATTTTCTCTTTCTCGCTTTTTTGTGAGGCCTGCTTGAATGTGTATGCTCGTAATACGTGTACACGAACGATCTCTATGCGGCAGAAAATCGATCGATAAAAGAAATTATTTTGGCGCACACACACGATACGTTCACGTATTTCGAAGGCAAACAAACGAAAGAGTTGCGTTACAATAATATAAGCTCGTAGATCACAATGATGAAAGTACCCTGGTTGAACAAGAGCTCCTTCTCGCCGAAGAAAACGCCGACGAGGAAGGCCTCGGTGTCGCTGTCGAGTAAGGATCTCAGCCCCAAGAGAATCGAAAAGGAGCTCGGACCGAACGTCGGCGAGATCAGAATCTGTCTGGGCGATCAGCAGGCCGTCTTCGATGGGGGCTTGTGGGTGCCTGGTGAGTACTCCGTAATACTGTTTATTTTCTTCTTCTAAACATATGTTGGATCGATCTGTTTAACAAGGCATTTTTTCTGTTGACAGAGACTGGAAAAGCGAGTGGCGCTTTCAAAGAGAACGAAAAGTTGAAGAAAGAAGTGAAGAAACTGGAGGAAGAGAACAATTTGCTTAAAATAAAATTCGAACTTTTATTAGACATGGTACGTTCCAACATTTGAGTTTATCAACGTGATAATATTCATATAAAAACTTAATTTAATATGACATATAAAAAATATTGTATTTTCTCTATTATACAAAACATATTTTACAGTTAACACAGACAACTGCCGAAGCCACTCAAGACAGAGAGGAACTCGAGAGCTTGAGAAATAAGCTTCATCACAATAAAAAACGCGTGGCAGTCTGATCTCAACAATTGCCTTACTTTGCAAGCTTGGCTACATTCCAGATATTTAACAATTTGATTAATCTATCAAATACAAATAAACCAAAGCTAACTTTATCAAGTTCGTTTGTTGAATATTTACATTAGCTTTATAAATAATTAACGTATTTTTATAAAAAGTTATTTTCTAAGAAAAATACTTATATGTATAAGGCAGGAACAAGAACGTTTCTCAAATTAAAATTGTACAATTTCAATAGCTTACAGATAACATTAAACGTGATTAATCGATGATTAATCATTTTGAGGACAAGTTCTTTTAGTGTGACCTGTAAAATACAAATTAAAGATTTAAAATTATTCGAGAAACCGTGAAATTTCACAATTATTTTCATTATCTCACTCACCTGCAATGCCACAATTACCACATTTACGTTTAGAGCCAGCTCCTCCATCTCCCGCTGCTCTCGATGCTCCTCTTCCTCTGCTTGCAGTTCCACCACCTCTTCCCCGACCTCGACTACCTCCGGGAGGTGGTGGGCCACCCCAATTATTGTCACTGACATCATCGGCCCATTTGAAGAAATTACACGAACTGCCTGGGCCTTGTGGGCATCCATAAAATTTACGCCCTTTATTTGGTCCTTCTTTGTTTACAGTGAGCCTTTAAGTGAAAAAAAATTGGAGAATGAATTTTAACAAGATATTGATTATTATTTTAAGTCGCTTACTTTTTGCCTGGTTGGCCACATGTGCACATAACTTGTTCATTATCATTATTACCGCCACCGCCGCCACCGCCACCACCACTCCAATCATCCCAATTATTAGAAGAATTGAAGCTCTGATTGTTATCCCGTCTTTGATAGTTGGAAGAAGCCTGATAATTATTCTGTCTATTATTTTGATTCCAGCTTGTAGATGAATCGTGCATTCGTGGAGCGGATGATCCAGCGTTGCTGTTACTTCCACCACCGGATTCTGGATCCCACAAAAAGAAACCACAATCGCCTGATGGTTTGGCACATTTGTAAAACTGTCGACCTTGATTGGGTCCTTCTTTTCTAACAGTTAGTAATTTGGCAGTTTGATGACAGTTGCACATGATTTCATGAGAATCGTCGTTGTTTCGATTGCTGCTACTTGAACCGGTCCATCCATTACCTTGTGACCATTGATTATTTGGCCTACTGTTACTTGGAGCACTGTTGGAACTTTTAATTTCACTGCGATTGCTATTCCAATTATTGCTAGGAGCACTACTACTATATGTACTGTAACTTTGGTTTCTTTGAGTGCTTCCTGTTCCTGGAGTCCAATCGTTGTCGTCGGAGTCCCAATCATTTCTATTATTTCTAGGATTTCTTGCTTGCGAAGAAGGTGGTGGTGGTCGTTGTTGAGGTGGCGGTGGTCCTCTAGGAGGTTGAGGAGGCGGTGGTCCTCTTGGCGGCTGAGGAGGTGGCGGTGGATTATTTGGACGATTTGGACCTTGGTTGGCGCCATTGTTCGGTAAATCTCGTGCTCGTCTTACCGACTGTATTCTAATGCCCATCACATTGTTAAACATGTCGTCGCAGCCACCTACGCAAGCGGTGTAACTAATACCGAGAGCTGGATAAGCATGTCGCTGAAGTTTAACTTTGATTTTTCTTAAAATGTTGTCTGGACACTGAAACAAAAGATTTGTGCATCATTTAGAGCGTTCGTTAAAGTTGCCAAATTCCCCGTTAGGTCTTTGAAAACTTACAATGTTACATCGTTCGTTGAGGACTTCTACATCCTCAACGGATTCAGGCAGCCAAATGACGTTGTTGCATGTAGGATAATTCATACAACCGATGTACTTTCCGTTACCTTGCCTTCGAGCTTTTACCGTCATGTTCGAATCACATTTTGGACATTTCAGTACAACCGGATCATCCACTGGCATCGCGATTTCTTGATGAACATTTTCTGCGGGTCGTTCGTCCAAATACTCGGCCAGAGCAGTGTCAATCATATTAGCCTTGGTGAGAGCCTCACGGAAAACCTCTCGATACTTATTAATTATTCGCTGCCGAACCTCATCAGGCTGCTTTTGTCCCTCACAGATTCTGGAAGATCGGTTAGAGTAACATTACACCAAGTAAGAGCACAATTAATGAAAATTATCTTAAAGAATTACAATTTTAAATCGTTTTCTAATTCGGCACGAAGATTCGGTTTACTCATTTGGAAGCCCATTCGGTCGTAACCCATTACCAAGCCGATGCCAAGTTTACCAGGTATCAAATATTTATTGTCTTTTAATCCTACGTATTGACGGCTTTTTATCGTTTCGATGTGCTCAGCGTGCGTAGCATCGGTTCCAATACCTAAATTTAGATTTACACATAACTCCCAATTATCTGATAAGTATATTTTATTAACGAATTGAAAATTACCATGTTTATCCATAAGAGCAATAAGATCAGCTTCAGTAAGTAAATTTGGTGGGGAAGTAGATTCTTCTAACATATCAATTGAAGTGGGCATGAAAGTTTGACCATTTTCGTAAATGTGTATCTCTTTGGCATTCCATCTTTCGTAGATGTAAACTTCGAGATAGTTTTTAGCAATAATTTGCAAACCATTAGTTATGAATGTTTCACCAGCAATATTTATTTCCACGACTGTTTCGTATCCTTGGGCATCTTTCGAACAGCAAGCAAGAAAATGTCGCACAACGTATTCATAAACTCGTTTTTCATCTCCTAAATTTAAGATTAAAAAACTCGGTTAAGCACTTCGATTATCTTTCTAATTCATTTATAAATTACAAAAATTTACCGTGCAAATTATCGGCGTATTTGGTCGGATGGATCGGTGGATGAGCTTGGTCACTCTTTTTTCCTTGACGTGGGTTCACTCCTTCTTCAAGCAATCTTTGAGCAAAATTACCCCATTCTTGATTTGGTGCTTGTTGAGTTACTAATGCCGTTAAATTCATTTCTTTCGGAAAAATATTAGTTTCTGTACGTGGATAGCTAATGAAACCTTGAGTGTAGAGTTTTTCAGCTATTTTCATTGTTTCTTTTGCACTGAGACGAAGTTTACGTGACCCTTGTTTTTCCAATTCCTAAAATGTATATTTTTTTTTATAACAAATACCATTAATTAACATGGACTTTTTTTTAAGAGCCATATATAAGAAACTAACAATAGTATCTAAAGGTAATGGTCTCCATTTGCTTTTAGGTTTACTGGTTATTTTTTCAACAGTTGCTTGAGGATTGTCTTGACATATATCTAGAAATACCTCACAAGGTAATTTTTCAAATAATCTGTTCCGGCTCCATCTAAAATAATTAGTTATGAAAAATCTATATGAAATCTGAATGAGATAATTGAATGCCTTACCTAAAATCAACTGTAAGATCATTCATGGTATGTGTTACTTTTAATTTCCAGTAAGGTTCAGGTTCAAATCTTTCTATGGCTAAAAAACGTTCAACAACAAATCCTAATGTTGGAAATTGGCAAGGTCCATAACTTATTAGCATTTCTGATAAATTTCTTGGAAAAGCCTTTTGCAATCTCATGGTTTGAAATCTTGTAAATGCAGCCCCTAAAACAGTAAATAAAACATTATAGTCATAAAACAATTTTCAAGTTTTTTCATATAAATTATAATATACACATTACCTATCCTTAAATCTAATTCACTTCTGACATCAACAGCATCGCTTAAAAGCTGGTTTGGTTGTTCTAAATTTTGAAGTGCTCTTTCAATGGAAGCTTGTGTTATCTCTGAAAACTTGGCTCTGTGAAAAAAAAATTAAAATGAGTGTCAAATTTTGATGCTGGTTCAGCAAATATTTAAATAATTAATATACCTATAAACCTGAATATTAGGTTTGATTGCTCTGGCCACTTGAATGATTTCATATCCAATATTTTCTCCTTCTCTATCGCAATCAGTCCATATTATAAGAGCTTGACAACCCCTAACTTCTTTTTCTATAGATTTTTTAATTTTTTCATAATCTTGATTCACACATGCTTTATGGACGGGTGCATCAAAGAGACTGAGAGGTGGACAACCATACCATTTTCTATAAGCACCAGTGAAATCGAAACTCATCAAATGACCCGACACTGATGTCATTATCATTTGACAGTCCCGGTTCCATACTCGAGCATTAAATTCATAAATTTTATTATATTTTGACAGGCCTTCTCTCTGTTATGAATAAGTATAAAATTAAATTAAAACACTGCATGTTTGAGAGTACACAATAGAATTTTTTGGCAATGCTTACTCTTCGAGCAGTGCCTCTGGAAATGTGTCCAGCGATATTTTTTGCAGCATCATTTTTCTCAGCAACATTTAAAACCTTCATGATTTCGGCTTTTTCGAATCTAGCTGGAGCATTTGAAAAGAACCTCGACACTCCGAAGACGCATTTGACGTTAAAGTACTTCAGTATATTTAATCGAATTGTCAACTTGAGCATCACTTTTTTACATTAATCGCGCATGCACTTTTAAAACGATAAAATTTAAACAATAAACTACACTTCAAAAGGTTAGGTAGATTTGTGGTCCAATCCATATTATAAACTTTCGAGTCTAACTAGATGACCGATGGTTTTTTTACTCTTATTTTTAACTGCGTGTTGTCATTGCTCAACGATCGAACGAACTCGAATTATAACATTCGCAATTACTTATCGTTCATAACTACCGTAAACACAAACAAAAACAATGAGATTCGCTGCAAAAAAAGCCGAGTGCAGTATTAGCAGTAGCAGCAGCAGTAACTATATGTCGAAGCCTCTGCACGAGTTCGAGCCGGCTGCTTCGGGACTTCGTTATTCGCGCCAATTCTATTGTACGCCTTCATTGATAATAAATTACGCACGTGCGGCAAGAGTCCATTGACATTATAATTCGGCACGCGATTGTACGAATTATTACAAGAAAAATCGCTCAACTCCACTCTCAGTGAGTTACTGGGATTTTGGGGATCAATTGTCTATTTTTCCCAGTAAGCGCGTTTAAATTTACTTCAAAAATTTTTCAAAGTAAAATAGAATACTTTCTCGATCCTTCGTAACGTACATTCTCGCGAATTTTCTTACTTATCGACCGGCAAGCTTTTTTCGCAATGTCTCGCACTCGCACGCAATACGGTATTTTGAGACAAGCGTGAGTTTATCCAACCAAAATATACATCATATAAATGTGTGTTATACATGCATAAGTATACCTATACGTATAGTATACACAAGCGACGGCAACTGTATCGCTCTTTCGCACACACACACAAACGTACGACTCCATTCTTTTGTCTCTCTCTCTCGTGTGTTGTGTACTGCAGTCTCGGCCGTATACGCGCGATACACGACTCCTCTTGTGTACTCCGGCAGAAAAAGAATATCGTATCGATCGTCGTGTAATCGTATATTTAATATAATAAAACGCGACGCAATTCGCGCCGATATCATGTCAGTGTCTTTGTTACGCGGCATAGCAGAGCGAACTTTAATACGGTGTCCGGGCTGCCTATAGCTTGCACAAGGTACATATAGGTATATACAACGAGCATCGCCGCGAGAGCTGCAGTGCTAAAAAAAGCACGCTATAACCGCGGATCGATCCGCCTGATTCTCGCTCCTCGTGCTGCAGCCTGAAAGTGCATAAGTGTCGGTGTGCGTACTTGGTGTATATGTATACACGAGTTGCATATATACCTCGCTGCGTAACAACGCGTGTGTGAGAGATCCCCGCACACGCTATATACGTATATATCGAGCGATATATTCCTCGGCGGATCGTTGTTGCTGCTGCTGCAAAATATCGGACCGTCGCAGTAATAGTATACGGGCGACCGCGTGGTGAAAAGAGAGGCAGAGATTATATAGCGCACGGCGCGCACACGGTTATAGATATATATATGCGTTACCATACCTATACGAGGTAGTGCGAATATATGTAGCGGAGAGTCTCGCGCGACTGTTTACGTTTTCTCCCGCGCATTTCTTTTTTATCTGGCGGCCACATGCGAGTAATACTCGTCGAGATCGTTCGTGAAAAGTGAAGAGATAGAAAAAAAGAGTAACAAATAATACAGGACCGACCGCGCGCGGCATCTGTACGAAAGTTTCCATTGAAAAATTTGTCGGAGCAGACACAATGTCGCCCATCAACGTCGTCTTTCCCAACGAGGATGGCCCTTCGAGAGCGAAGAAATGGCGCATCAAGAAGGGCGAGTTCGTTAACGTCGGCAAGCTGTTGCTGATCTACACCGACGTCGCCACGGACAAGGTCGAGAAACGCATGAAGTCAACGCAAGTCGGCAAAGTCGTCAAACTGTGCGTCAAGGAAAACGAGGTGCTACATCCGGGGTAAGCGCCGCGCGTTGTGTTATACACGCGCATTATTAAGTATATACGCCTCTATTGTTTGTTTTGATTCTACGCGTGGGTGTGCGACGTGCTATCCGCGGAGCGGCTATAGATTTCTCAGGCTTTGTACTACAATGGCCAATTGTGGCTTATATCCCTGAATAATTCATATATTTTATACATGTTTAATCAAGTGCGTTTTTTATGGTATCAAAAGTCTCGATTGTTTCCGTTTTTTTCCTTAAGATACTTATGAAAACTCAATTTTAATTTTAATTTTAATTTTTATTTGAATTTTCAGTCAAGTCATAGCACAGCTAGAAAAATGCAAACATCCTACTGTGATGAAGGATATGTGTGCAGAGTGTGGAGCTGATTTGATTGAAGAAGCTGAGTCAGGCCAAAAGGAGGCTTTAATGCAAGCGAATGTACCAATGGTTCACAGTATTCCTGAATTGAAAGTGACTCCAGAATTGGCTGAAAAAATTGGTTTAGAAGATAAGGAAAGATTACTCAATGATAAGCGATTGGTACTACTGGTTGATCTTGATCAAACTATTATACACACGACAAATGATCATGTTCCTAATGATTTAGAGGTATGTTTCCTCATAATAATTTTATTTGAAGATTATACTCACAATTTACACTAATTTATTAATTTACTAATATTTTCATTGAAGGATGTTTTTCATTTTCAACTGTATGGTAAATTCTCACCATGGTATCACACACGTTTGAGGCCTCATACAAGACAGTTTTTGAAACGAATAAGTGAACTTTATGAATTACACATCTGTACTTTTGGAGTTCGACAATATGCACACCATATTGCTCGAACTTTAGATCAAACTGGAGAACTTTTTTCTCACCGGATATTATCCAGAGATGAATGTTTTGATCCCCAATCAAAAACAGCAAATTTAAGGTATTTATTGTGAACTTGATATAAATGTTTTACAGTTGAAAAAAAATATATTATTTTGCAGAGCTTTATTTCCTTGTGGTGTTGACATGGTATGCATAATAGATGATAGAGATGATGTATGGCAAGGGTGCTTAAATCTTGTTCAAGTCAAACCATATCATTACTTCAAAAATACAGGTGATATAAATGCACCAGATGGTTTAGAAAAACGAGATCCTCAAGCACCTAAAATAGATTCTGAAGAAGATTTATACAAAGAAAATGATGAAGGTAACATAGAAAGTAATAATGGTGATAGCAACAGTGAAGAAAAACCATCAAATAATGAAAATAAAGAAGAATTTTCAAACTCTGATAATGACCAAGAAGTAGAAGAAATAAATGAAAGCAACGAGAAGTGTGAAACAGTAAAAGAAGAAAAAGAAGATGTCAAAACCGATAAAAACAATGAAAAAGAAGCTGAAAATGATGAAAGTAAAAAGAAGGAGAATGAAAATAAAAATAAAGTAAAAAAAGATAATGAAGATCATGATGACTACTTATTGTATCTTGAAGATATATTAAAAAGAATACATGCTGAATTTTACAATGAGAAAAATGGCGATCCAAGAACAAAAACTCTTAAAGAAATAATTCCAAAAGTTCGATTAGGCATCTTAAAGGGGCTACACTTAACATTTAGTGGTCTTGTACCTACCAATCAAAATCTTGATGAAAGTCGACCATACAAAGTAGCAAAAGGTATAGGTGCTACAATAACCCAAGTGAGTACCTAATATATTCACTGAATACTTTCACAATAATCAAGTCAACTCTATCTCTAAATTTGATACATATTTACAGGAACTAACTGATAAAACAACACATTTGGTTGCTGTTCATCCAGGTACAGCAAAGTGTAGAGAAGCTAAAAAAAATCCAAAAATAAAGATAGTAAATCCAGATTGGCTATGGACTTGTGCAGAGAGATGGGAACATGTTGATGAAAGGTTGTTCCCTCTGAAAGAAGTACCCTTACAAAAAGTATGATGCCAAATTTGATATTAATCATAGTCTGTTACGAATGCTAGTTAATTTTATTGTAATAATCCGTTATACGTTAATTTTAGGCTCGCGAATTCAGAAAACCACCTCCACATTGTACTACGCCTGATCCATCAACACTACCGGAAGCAGAGGATGAAGAAGATCCCAATCATTTCCCAGACAATCCTCTAATAACACTATCTCGCGATGAAATCGCTGATATGGGTAAAGAAGTTGATGACGATTTAAAGGATAGTTCTGATGAAAGTGATAATGATAATGATACAAGTAATTCATGTAAAAAAAGGGATCTAGAATCTTCAGACGATTCAGATGATAGAGAAGTTTATGGCTGTAAGTATTTTCAAGGTATAATATTTTTTAGCACTATCAATTTAACAACAATTTTATTTTTTAAGATGATGAGGATTCGCGTATGGCAAAAAAACGTAAAACAGATAACACCAAAAACGACGATGTAGACGAATGTGTAAGTGATCTTGATGAAGGCGAGGACGAAGACGACGAAGAGGATCCAGTTACTAAGTTCCGTCATGGAGGAGACTTACCAGACTTGGATCTTGGAGATACTAATTCTCTAGATGTGAGCGATCTTGAAAATGATACTTACGATGATAATAGTGAATGGAACGCAATGGGTGCAGCCTTAGAACGGGAATTTCTAGGAGATTGAAAAATCTTTAAACTGTATACTTTGTTGAAATATTTAATTTTTGTACAGAGTGAAATTAAGCTCGTTCAACATTCATTGTCATAAAAAATTATTGTAGTCATTGAATAGTTAAGTATACAGATAAGGATTTTCTCATTTTATCAATTTGATTGTTATACAAAAAAATTGTCTCCTAAATTCTATACTTTTTTTTACTAGTTGATTAAAATTAATTGATAAATTCATCAAATGATAAAATAAGTGACTGCGTTGGAAGTATTTTAAATTAATTTAAAACAAAGTAACAATTATACTAGTTGGTAATTTAAATAAGGAAGTTTGTAAATACTGACTAGTAAGTGTCTACATAAAAGTTTGTTAGTTACTTATGTAATATAAATTGTAAATTGTTAAATTAAAAGTAATAGTATTTCAAGATGATGATGTTTTTTCTCTTTACTGACAAACAAAGTAACTAGTCAAGTTGACGATAAAGGGTTAACAGTCTTGGACAGAAAACTTTTCTTAACAAACAAATTTATTAAAACTATAATACAACTATTTACAGAGCATGAGGATCTTGATCCTCTTCATGGTACTTTTTGTAAGTTGGTTTGTCTGTGAAGTCACGTATTCCTTCTTGATCACCTCGAGGTGGTGCTGTGTCATAATCGAATCCGGTCTTTGATTTTCCAAATGCCTCATTGACTATTTTAATTTCATCTCTGTAAACACCAGCTGCAACCTTCTTTCCTGTTATTGGATCAGTGACATCACCAAGTGGATAGATAACATCGATCACCTGTGCAAATGAACGAAATAGGATCAATTCTTTGATTTACCCTTTTGACACATCCATCAAAATTGTAAGCAACACAATGCACAATCAATTACCTCGTGCGTTATCAATCTCGTCATCTTTTGCGGCAACTGTCTTACAAGAATCGTATCGCCGGTCTTGCACTTTTTCTCGGGATCGTGGGCGTAAACGGAGCGCTTCGTCCTGAAAAACTGTCAAAAGAAAAACGATTCTTGTTTATCGATGACTTAACCTCGAAGGAAGCGATTGATGAACGTAAACATTAGCAAGAGCCGATGCATACCATGTGCAGACGATGATCGTATTCGTGACCGAAGATCTCGACTTTTGTTGCATTCTCCTTCCAAGTGGGTTGACAGACACCCATCAAGTACTTGACCTTGTTGGCGGTGCCGGACGTGATTTTCCTCGCTGCCATGATAGCTCGCAGTGTAATGTGTACACTGTTTGATTCTCTGCTCCGCACGCGTGAGGTTGCGATCTAGCAGACGACAACACCCGCATGATTCGAGTGAGCTTTCATGCTGCTCGCACTTGTCGCCAAACTTTTCCAGTCGGCAATTAAATTAGAGTTGTAACGATTTTTCATGATTATTATAGTGAATGGTATCAGGTAAATGAATATTTTTATTTTTTACCCGTTTGTCAAGCATTTGTTGAAAAAGTGAAATTTTATACGTGAATGATTCAATCAACACAGGTAATTTTTCAATTTTGTTTATTTATATCGTTATACATCTCTCTGTATAAATTGTATGATCTTAAAAAATAAAATAAATGCTTAAAAAATAATACGATTTATGCGATGAGCACGTACGAAAATGACATGAAATCGGCTTTATACAGCATTATAAATGATTAGCGTCTCAATTGCGATCGTGTTTGGTGTAGTAACCATAGTGTTTTTCCAATTCGTCGGCTTGAACGGGACCGGGTGTACCCCATCTGCAATTCGAAATAAATGTTATAAATGAGTTTTTTAACATTTATATAAAGTAGGATCGGAGTGGTGACACTAACTTGTAGAAGTAGAGCTCGTTGTTGCCGTTGTCGATGTCGCGCAACACAGGCGTGAATATGCGCCAGGCCTCGACCAGCTCCTGCTCCTTGACAAAGTTCTGCTGCTCGTCGTTGATGATTTCGTAAAACAGTCGCTCGTAGGCACGGGGTATAGTCACGTTCTGCAAAAATTACAAAACAGCAATTAGTAGTCGTAAATTAAATTTTAAGCTCGAGGATCTAAATTGCCTATACGAACCTTGTAATTATCGGCATAGACAAAGTTCAGCTTGACCTTCTCGGACTCGTTGAGGATGCCAGGAATCTTCGAGTTCAGATTCATGGATATGGTCTCGCCCTTGAGCTTGATCTCGAGCTCGTCCCTCTTGGCCGGATCCTCGTCCTTGAACTGTATCTTCAGGGTCGTCTGGGTGCGCCCCAGAGCTTTGCCGGCGCGCACGATGAACGGCACTCCGGCCCACCTGTCGTTGTCGATCTTGAGCACGGTCGAGGCGAAAGTCGGCGTCGTGGATTCCTTGTTCTTGACGGTCGGGTCCTCCCTGTAGCCCACTCGCTTCTTCGGGTCCTCGGCCTCGGGATCGCCCAGATACTGTCCCAGCACGGTGTCGTTGGCCTCCACGGGTCGCATCGCCTTCAGCAGCTCGACCTTGGCCTCTCTTATGTTGCCGTTCACGGGTCTCTCCATGGCGAGGAGAGCCACCAGCTGCAACAGATGGTTCTGCACGACGTCGCGAATGATGCCGTTGGCGTCGAAGAAGGCGCCGCGGCCCTCGATGCCGAACGCCTCCTCGAACAGGACCGAGACCGCCTCGATGTTGTCGCGATTCCAGACGGGATCGAACAGGTGATTCTCGAAGCGCAGAGTGACGAGATTCTGCACCATGTCGTAGCCCAGGAAGTGATCCATGATGAAGATCTGCTCGGGCTTGAAGAGCGAGTCGAGATGCTGGGCGAGGGCCGCCGAAGTCTCGGAGTCGCTGCCGAACGGCTTCTCCACGGCTATTCTCACCTGGCCGGGTCTCTTGGGCATGGCGTAACGCTTGATGTTGGTCGCCGCGTTGGCGAAGAACTTGGGCGGCAGCGACATGTAGAAGACGCGATCGGCCCTGCGATAATGGCGCTCGGTCTCGAACTTGTCGCAGGCCGCGTCGATGCCCCGGTAGCCGAGCTCGTCGTTGTTGGCGGAGCTCACGTAGGTCTGCTTGGACCAGAACTCGTCGTAGAGCTCGGCCTCCTCGGGGGTGATCTTGACGAAGGCCTCGACGTTGCGGCGTATCTCGTCGACGCTACTGCGGCTTCGAGCGTAGCCGATGATGCGCGTGTTGATTGGCAGCCGGTTCTTCTTGAACAGGTTCCAGAGCGACGGGTAGAGCGAACGCTTGGCCAAGTCACCCTGTGTATTATAATACAAAATTCAGGTAAGCACAAATTTCGAGATATTGTTATTGACAGGAATGTATAAATATTAAATCTTACCGTTGCGCCGAGGATGATGATGGTCGTGAGGTCGTCCTTACCAGCGGCGGCCTGATGATGGTGCACCAATTCCAGGGGTACGGGACTAGCATCGCTCACGAAGTACGAGACGGCTGCGTAAAACAATAAACAAAAACGTAGTAGCAACGCGGTGAACATTCGACGATGTGAAGAACGAGGAAAAGTTTTAAGACAACGGTGTAACAGACAGAATGAATGAAAAAAAAAGGAAAAATCATTGTGAATGATTGTGCTGCACGCGGCGCTCGATGCACAGCCTTGAATTATCGTGTAACTGAATATCGGCTCGGAGAGCCACGCGCGCGCGCGCGCGAGATAATTAACAATTACGCTAATGCTTATGTTGATTTTTTTTGTCGCAAATTACCGATCAGCAGGCCGAAGCCGTAAGCCAGTGTCAATGATAGATTGGACATTCGCATGACGATGTCTCTGTATAACGAAATATATGCTGCTACCGCTTCCACTGCCGCTGCTGCTGCTGCTCTCGGTGCTCTCGTGCTCGATGATGGTCCGCAGTCGAATGAAAACTCTGCTCGCTCGCTCGTGCACCTTTATATACATACTTAATATTATATTTATATATGTATCGCGCGCGCGGCGCGGCGTTCGTCTCTGTTCGAGGCGATGAAATTTTATTGTATGTCTCTGGTGTGTGTTACGAGCGAAAAATCGTTTTATTGTCTACTCCGAGTGTATTTGTACTTTCGATCGAGTGTTTTTGTATACATTGTTAGGCCTTCGTATTATTGGCTGTCGGTCGAGAGGCGCGGCTGTGCGAATCTTCGCTTTTCGGCACGTGCGAGCTTTTACGGCGACGAGGAAGCCATAATTTTTCTAGTCATCATTATCATTAATGATTATTTAATTGACATTAATGGCCAAAAGCTCGTGTGTCATCGATTTTTGTTTCCATCGCGGCTCAAGATCGATGCTTGAAGTCTGTAAAACAAGCAAACGCTAAGATTTCGTTTTCTCAACTTTTTCTTTTTGTATTAATTTACATTACGATTTTTTTAAAATTGTAATAAAATGCATTGACGTAACGAATGCACGTACATCGTAAAAAATTATCAATTGCTCAGCCAAGTCAGTCGTCGTGTGAAATAAAAGAAAAAAAATGTAGAATCATTTCGTCGATGTAAGTCACGAGTGCGACTATATTTAAAACGAGATCAATTTTCATAATATGCTCCTATTTTTTTCGTTTAAAGCGAGTCCCTCATTATACACATTGTGTGTTCCGATCGATATTTTCCGTTTGTTTTGCAGGAGTGCTCGAAATTTGCAAAGCAATAATGAGTCGAGGAAAAAGTCTTCTTTTTTTTTGGACACAAAGGTGAAGCCACGTAGGAAGTATCTGTGCTTTGTATTTATATTTGGGAGGATTAAAGAATGACGAAACTGTTTTCTAACTTGCTCTGAATAGTTGGGGTTTTAGACTGGGGTGAACGAATTTCAACAGTCTGGATAAAACCGGATAGAAAATCGTTATTTTCGAGAAACTTTTCGAGAGGAGGATGATGTTACAGTCGAAAAAGTTTACTCGTACTTCGCGATATTTAGTAAAATATCAATTTACAATAAAATATTAACGATATCCCACGAATTAACAGTTGCGATGTAGTTTAGTTTTTTCATTTAGTAAAGTGATTTTCCAAAACGCATCGTAAAATGCAAAAATTGCCGCAAAACCTTGAAAATATGATAATTACTTTGTAATGGCAAAAATTTACCTGTAGTTATGAAATTATTACAACATGAATCTTCAAATATTTACACGTCCATACCGGCATGCTATAAAATCGCTACGTGATATTGACATATGTAACAAGTGTTACAGTTTCGTCTCTTGATTGTGCAAAAAAAACGCAGTCAATGACCTCTTATCACCTCAATGAAAAAAAGAGGAACAAATAGGATAAAAACAGGTACAAGAAAAAAAGCTCTTATTTTTGTCAATAGTATAGAAGTTTAATAATGTAGAATACAAGGTGATGTTACAATTATGGTTGTTTTTTTTCTCAAAATAATTTTACATCGTTCCTCCGAAAATTACAATCGCTTCGTTTTTATCATTCACGTGGTAAGGCAGTGGTCATTATCAATAGAAACGTCAAATGATCAATATTTCTTTCCTGTTTTTCCTTTCGTCGAAAATCTTTTCGTTGATACAGACAATTGATTCGCAACAATATATAACACACACATTCTCGATGGGAAAGTGCGTTAACGTTGTTTCGCTAAAAAACAATTGGACGAGCATGTGACTTTGCGCGCGATCGAGAAGTATAATTACAATCGGACAAGAACAAATAACCACTTGAAATGGAAAAATTAAAATACAATATGATAACCTATTTGATTCTTTAACTAATAATTTAAATAAAAAGTAGTGGTTGTTTTCACAGGGTATTTTTACGCAGATGCGGCACGAAATCTTGTGATTACTTCTTAATGATATGCATGTACGAAATTTATAATCAAACATCTTTATGTTTATTAAAATTTTTCTTTTTCAAGTGAAAAAATACTCGTAATATTTAAAATCTATCTACAAAGGCCCCCAAGCTTAAACATGTTACAAGATATAACGTCTCACATGTTTGTATTATAGATACAAAAGACCAAGTTCCTTTCAATTTTTGACACATTTTAGGATACACACACTTTTTTGGAAGCTAACAAAGCTCTTTCACAGTAATGCTTTGAAATGTATGCAGAATATCATCGAATATAGTTCTCGCAAAGAAATGTTTTGTATATCAAACGTTTTGCTATAAAGTTACTTTGAATTCGTTGACAAAATATCTTTCAACATGACCTTAAGTTAACATAAATCACAATTGAAGTTTTTTTTATCGAACGATGTTACTACTTGATTAACTTATATCATTATAAACTCAAGTTCGAGTAAGTTCAATGATACAAGTTTACGTCCATTATACAACGTCGATTAAAAAAAGAAGTGAAATCTACAATGAATAAAACTTTTGTCACCGATCGGGAATATGCGGCGGTTGAAATCGGTGAAGTTAAATTACATACCTACGAATGGTCCTCCACCAAGAATAAGTAACGATTAATAGTGCGTCATTAAGCTTTTGAATATAAATACTGGTTTGTGATTGAAAAGGTAGCAAAAAATCAATAAAATGAGTGTAGATCTTGTTTAGACTGTTTGCACATATTATTTTTACTTCTCAATCATAAACATAAATGAACGTATCTAAAAACGCATAACTTAGACAATAGACAGCATTTGAACAACGCATACTTAGAATGATGAAAAAAAAAACGAGAAATTAACTAATGAAATTTAAATGCAAACATTTTCGCAACGAAATGTGTTGAAAAAAGTAATTTCAACATTAGTTAAATAATAAAAAGTAATCTCTCGCTATGATTATTTTAACGACTAAACAACATCAATAAAAATATATTCGCAATTCATGTCTCTAAAATATTTTTGCGACAATTCTTGGAATTTTGAATTTGCATTCTTTCGGTTTTGTTAAAGAGATTCATTTTAATACAAATTACTCGAGAGACATTCAAAATTTTATCAAGCATATTTATACAAAATTTTTTATTTTAAAAAAGGAGAATACAAAAACGGAGTTCTTTTCAAAATTCCAAAATGTATTTCTTTACTTAAACGTCTAAATGACTTTCCAATTGAATATTACAACTCATATATTCAGATAAAATAGTCATTATTAAAAAGCATATTATTTATGTTAAGCTTAAAATACTGCGGAAGGCTGCAATCACGTCGTTTTCTCCATTACACACATTACTATCTCCTTTCATTGCATATAATATAATTCATAAATTCTTCGTGATATATCTGATATGGCTGCTACATAAATCTTCACTATTTGTGATGTTTTTCACTTAAGGAGCATGAATCAAGTTTTTTCTGCCAAAATGATCTTACTCAAATATAATACATATATTGATCTAATATTTATTGTGATTCATTTTCAACTCAAAGACGTAATTTACTTTAGGCGTATTATCTTTTTCTGTTCTAAATTTATTAAAACTTAAGTACTATTTATTTTCACAAGTAGTATCATTTGTATTGGTTTGCATTCCTGCTGTAGTGGTGAAAGCAAATATTATTATTAAACTCTTTCATATAAAAAGCTTGCCTCACCAATGCAGATAATATTAGTGAAAATGATACAGGTCGTTATCAATCAATTTCACAACTTTCCGGATACTTCTTGCAATTGTCAAAGCTAATTGATAATTCATTTATCAACATAATAATTAGTATATCGTTAAAATAAAATGTTATTATATAGTTAACAATAATAAGGTACAATATGAATAAGTTGTTTCTGTGTAAAATTTTATATAAAAACGAAAATTCTTTCACATTAAAATAAGAGTTATTCACACATCATTAACAATACATCTATTTGTTACCAACTTAAGTAAACATACATCTTTTATAGTACCATATTAAGCAAATATTTTTGAATATGAAATTCCATGTATCTATTTTTTTTAAAATGCAGTATTGTACTACTTATACTAAAATTGTCAATAACAGAGTTATTTTCACACAAATTCGATGTCACTCCTTAAAAACTATTATTTTTCATATGAAACGTTACGATATAAATTATAGCTCATAAATATATATCATTAATTGCTTGAAACTAACATTACGATCGAAGAATTCATCAATCAAAGTAAAATCATTTTAGCGTGCAAAAATTTTAAAAACTAATTGCTATCAAGCATGGACGTACACAAATGCAATGGACAAAAAAAACGTGTGAATACTCGCTTTACATGCTAGGTATGTATCCACAATTTTATAATATTTTCATTATAATTCTCGATACACTTTGATCACTGTAGCACTTCAGCTTGGGCAGTTAAGTTTATGCTTAATCATTATCAGCACTTAAAAATTATTATTTTTTAATAATTCACATAAAAATCTATTTGCATATTCTTTTACATACATTAAATCTATTATATAGTCGTCTCTTTTTAAATTGTTTAGTCTTTTCTTGGAATCATTCATCAAAATTTCTTTATTTAATTAATTTACGATCCAACCTCTTCTGGTCTAGCTAAGGGTGCTTTTGACTTTTCAGTTGTCACCGTTGTGGTAGTTATTTCGAAGTTTTCCAAGTCGGCTGCACTAAGCTGTAATTCAAGTAAAATGCTCAAGTTAATAAAAAGTAAGAAGTCTTTTTTATAATTATTTAGCACATATTAAACGTGAAAACACTCAAAGCAGTGATTATATATTATCATCCAAACATTGAAAGCATAGATAAAGAATTTGATTGCATGATTTGGATTTACGTAAACCATCACCATGTACGTTTTGGTAGAAAAAGCCGATAAATTTAGTTATTGATAATTAATAGTAATTTGAAAAAAGCTAATATTTAAATATTAAAAATTTGAACATTGATTAATAGTAGCAAATTCAGTTAAAAATAATGTTAACTTCGTATATTTAGCCAACCAAAAAATGCCATTAAAAAATTTTTTTTTGTTAAATGACACTTTGAAAGCCATAACATGTCTTTCGTTTTCTAATCAAATTCTGACCTCAACGCCAGGAGGTAACGTGATTGTAGCATGCGTTGTTGTAGTTTCTGTACCAGTGGTCAGCTCTTTTTCTACTGTAGTGCCTACAATTTGGGAGTGAACAAAAGGCACATTAAAAAACAATATTCTAAAAAGTGATAAAAATAAACAATAATTCAAAACACTACTCTAAATACTAAGTAAAAAAAAATTGAAAATTTGAAAAACTCCGTGTTTAAATTTGATGTATTCTTGATTCGAAGAACTTCAATATCTTTGGAAACTGATTTTCTCATCTGACTTTATTTTTTATTATGTTATGAAATACGATGTAATTCTCTTAGTCTTTGATCAGAACTCACTATTAAGTTCCTCTGAAGCGTTATGATGCTGAGTTTCAGTTGTCTCGACGTCACCATTGGTTGTGATTCCATTAGTTGCAGCTTGCTGCGATATAACAGTCGTCGTTTTAACGACTACCTGTTGATTCTGTGTCGATATTTCAGAAGTGCGTGATGTTACTTCCATCTTAAGGCCAGCCAAACGGCTATGCAAGTCCTCGGATGATCCGACGTTTTTGAACAGTGAACTGTTACTGCGAAATTCGAAAATGAAATTTTTATCAAAAATATTGGAATTTCGAGAAAATTTTGATGATTTTTGATACTTACAGTAAGTGATCTTTAACACTATCAATGGTGATGTCGCCCAGCGAGCTGAGATCTTGTTTGTCATCATCGCCATTGATATCTGTGGTACTCGCTGCTGGTTTCATCTTAGGTGATTCTTCTCCATTTGCTGAAATATACGTCGTCAGGAATGCTATTTTTTCTGTTTCATAGCGATTCTAGATCTCTTTATTCTCCTTATTTGTTTTTTATTGCCCGTTATTAGACATATGGCTTTTGATCATGTAAGTGGTCTTTGTTAATTTGCATGGTTTGAATGATTGAATGAATCGCTTGTATCATTTTATTATTGGATCAGTAAACATTTAAAGAATCACAAATGAACGTGCAAAATTGTTTTATTGTATGCTATTATGAAATTGAATCGTGCACACATTGTCGTATGGAATGACTAGTTCGTAACTGTTTAACATGATTAAGGGGTTGATGCAAGGAAAAAACAAATAATGAAAATAGCTCACTTATTTTCAGACGTGCACTATGAACGGGCACACAATGAAAGAAAAAAAAACCAGAACTGAAAGATACTTACTTGAAGCAACACCATTTTCATTAATAACCTTAGGTACCGTCACCGGTTCTTTTTCCACCACGACGGGTTCCTCGACTTTAGTTTCCACGGTTTCAGTTTCGACAGCGGGCGCCTCTTCTTCTGGCTGATCAATTTCAATGGTTGGAATTTCTGGTTCTACTGTTCTCGCATTTGGTGGAAGATTCAGCGCACAGTGCGCTTTCGTTACTTTCGACGCTGACAAGGAGATACGCTGGAGCTCGGACGACGAGTGTAGATAAAAGGCTTCGCCAGATTTTGTGAAGGTCAAGGAGGAGATACCGCTGTAATGAATACGTACAGGTTTAGTTTTGTTTTAATGCAAAAAGGTATGCGTGCACGCCTCAATCGTCACTTTATCACTCACTTTATATCCTCGCGCTTAATAGTAGCAGCATTGAGTTGCCTTCTAAGTTCGGGAATACTGAGAACGATACATTCGCCAAGATTCGTCAGGCAGAGCAGGCACGTCTCTTCATGAACCCCCGAGGGCTCGACGGGACACGTGAATTTGGCGAAGCCGGTTTTACGTACGCGCGATCCTTCGTGCGCCGTGAGCTTGTACTTGCAGAAAGGCTTGAGCGACGGCAGATTGAAAATTTTGAACTGCTCCTCGCTGGCGATAACGACGCGATGTGGCGAGGCCATGTCGGGACCCGCACACACGCCCTTTTCGGCTTCGAAGGGCTCGGGCAGGGGTATGTTCGAGCCGTCGAGTATATTGATCGCAATGACGGGTGCTCTATGTTTCAGTTGGATCTCTTTGCCGAGCGTGCAAATGACGTCCTCCTCGGTGCGTCGAACTCCGGCCGGTATGCCCAGCGTGAACACGTATACTGTACCGTTATTCGTACCCGCCCACAGAGTTGGCGTCGTATTTTGCACTGAAAAGAAAAGCCGTGAGATGAATATTTTGTGCGATGTATATTTTTACTTTTTCCGTTTAAATATGAAATATTTGAGCTTACTGCTTATAATATAACTTCTTGCGAAATAAAGACATCTGACCATAGAACCCAGAGCATCGTCAACTGGTCTAGCTTCGATTTGTCGTTCAACTGGTTTTACATCTACAGCGGGATCACCGCTCGGGGAAGATGGTAAACTGGGTCTATAAATATAATTAAGAAGATTAAAACTGTGTACATAATCGAATTATCGAAGTTAGAATTATGCTCAAAGTCTACTCACGTTTCTTTCTTTTTCGGTTCCGCAGGCGCTCCTGCACGAGGAGGACTGTTTCCAGTCGTTGTCGTTGCTCTGCGCTGAGATCTACCTTTCCTCAATCGTCTGAATGACTCTCTGAGAGACTTTTTGAACGATTTCCTGCGAGAAATCGGCGTGTCTCCGGCACCAGAAAGATCTACGAATAAATCATGACATTAATCAATTATGCCTTCGTAAACGCTACCATATTCATCGTAACAAATTGATCCTACCGTTAGGATTCAGAGTGCACTTGACCGAGACTGCTTTGTTCCTAACGTAGTCGAACACGGCGAGTCCATGGGCTGTGCCGGCCGCCAACAGACCCCACTCGCTGTGCATGGCCAGAGCCGTGACAGCCGCCGGTGGGTGTATCTGGAGCAAGCTCTGCGGATGAAAACTACCAGCCGGATAATCGATCTTTTCGTTGCGCACGGGCAACTGATCGTAGCCCTTCCAGACAAAACCGTCGCGATCGTTGACGATGTTCATGGATGTTGCCTTGGTCATGACGTCCTTGGCCTCCTCGGCGACCACTTTGGCCACGATTACGTGTCCCGCGGTGCCAGCGACTATCAGAGTCGACGACTGCGGACAGAGCAAGACCTTCTTCACGGCCAAGCGAGGATCGTCGGAGTAAGGATCGAAGCTGCCGACTTTGCGGAACGGCGGAAATTCGTCCTCGTCCTCGTCCTCTGCGGGCGGCTCGAGCGCGAAGAGGTGCTCGCCCGTGAACAAAACGGACGAGTTGTACTTGTAGAGCGGCGTGAGCGACACGTCCGACGCGTTCCAGAAACGTACGGTGCCGTCCTCGTGTCCGGTTAGCAGAAGTTCGCGGGATTTCGGCTTTTCGGGATCGGCGGGTTTCTTGCAGAGCAACACGCCACCGTCGATGGGCCACGGTTTATCGGAGTACAAGTGACCGGTTTGAGCTTTTCCGGCGGCTTCGAGGGCGTTCCATAACTCTTCCGGTACATTGGGCACGTGTTGAGAGCAGGTTACCTATTTTTTGCATCGTTCAAAAAGTGAAAAAAAAAAAAAATATCGAATGATTTCAAAATCTAAAAAAAGTAATAATCCAATCGTATAATGAGTAATATACTGACGGCACTGGCGTGCAGCGACACGAGGTAAGGCAGTGACATCATCTTCCAATCGGGATCGGTAAGATCGATGGCGACGATCTCTTCCTCGGCCAAGATGACGAGAGCCTCGGGCTCCAACACTTTGTTCTTCGGCTTCTCCTCGTTCTCGCCGTCATCGTTGTCCTGTTTCTGCTTCGGCATTATCGTGAAGAAATCAATGACCTTCGAGGTGAAATCGAACGTGACGTGGGGCTTTTTCGCTTTTTTCTTGTCCGACTCTTCCTCCTCGACGGGGCTCTCCTTCTTCACGGTGATGGTCTGGCGATCGCCGTGATGCCCGCGAAGCATACCGCCCGAGAAAATAATGAGCTCGTCGCCGCTGCAAGAGTAGAGCGAAAAAAAAAATAAGGTTCATCGCATGCCCCTCGATGGAACAAATGAGGCGCAAAAACAAGGAACAAAGCGTCGACGCGCTCACTTACTCTGCCATGGGATGGACTATGATTTTTCTAATCGATTTGCAAGGATATGGTCCGTAGGGCGTCTGCGGCGCCTGTATCTGCTCGCTGCCTGGCGTCGCGAAGGCGTAGCTGCCGTCGTTGTGCGAGAAGACGAAGCGCGTCTCGGACACCCAGTGGACCGATTCGAGCTGCTGCTGGGAGATAAACGTCTGTGCACGCGAAAACAAACCCATGAGCTGTGGTGGTTGTAGTACACGGTCGATTGATTCATTGGTGGTTGTTGTTGTCGTCGCAGTCGTCGTCGTGGTTCATTGACGATGATTGCGCGTGGAAGCGGTGGTGGTGGATTTGTACAAAGGTAGAGAAGCGTCGTCCGTAACCCATTTTTTTTTTTTTTTTTTTTCGAAACATCGTTTCGATAGAAGAGAACAAATAGCGGGACACAACCAAAACCATCGAGCAATACAGAGAGGCAGGAAATCAAACAAGATACACAAACAAACGGATCAGCATGTGAAATTTTCAATTATGGTTGAAAAATTATGCAGTAACAAAAACAGGAACGTTTATGGTAGTTATAATGACTGAAAAATGTAGATCACATAAGCGTTCGTGTAATTGTAGCTGTATTTTAAGTATTTATTTATAGTAAAATGACAATGTGTATCTTTAGTGTATGGTGTGGTCTAATTTGTCGCGTTTGCCTGCATTAACGATCGACATTTTTTTTTTACACCTTCGAGACGTAAAGAGTCCTCATACAACAATACAAATGCGAGAGTCATTTAATGTATTATACACAAATACGCGCACACTCATCCCAGACGCTTCGAAAGCAACAAAAAAGTACGTGCACGTACATAAAGTACGGTTCTTGAAAAAAAAAAGGCTGATGAATTGTGGCGAATCATCGAGCTTGCTAGAGGCAGACAGCGAAACAAAAGAGAGTGAAACAGTAGAAAAAAAATATTGAAAATAAAAATCGCGATGCAACCATAAAGCACAGAAAGAGAGAAAACCGCCTCCCCCACCTGCGCGATCGCGCGCCTCGTCGCTCTCGTTCTCGCTCGATCGACTAACTATACAGTAAATAACCCAATTACCCAACAAGTGCTAGCCCAAGAGAGGTCTATTGCATTCATAGACATAATACGTGTAAGCATATCTATAGCTTTGAACCCATTCAAATTACAGAACAATGCCGATTATACAGTAAAAATAAAAAATTAGATGCGTGCGTGTATGTACAAAAGAAGCGGACAATTGTAGCGCGCGTAATGCCAAGAGATAATAAAATGTTCAAGTGTGAATAAAAAGCTTTGCACACGCGGTCGGTCGCGTTCGCGAACGTGTACATAAACGATGATCTTTCTCTCTCTTTACGGTGCGGTTGGCAAATGTGGTCGAATGCGTGGTATGCACGCGTGTGTATGTATACGTGTGTTTGTGTGTGCACACATATGGCTCGTGTTTTATACATTGTTGTTATATATATGTGTATCGTCGCTGCTGTCAGCTATACGAAAAGTTTAATGCGCATCGCATTTGCTGTATGTATAGATACTTTACCTGTTGAGCACCGGGTGTGGCTTTGTTCCAGAGCACCATCAAGCCGCGCTGATAGGCAATGAGGATGTTGTCCGGATGGCCAGGTTGCTCGGCGATACCCTCGACCGCGCCGGGATTGACTTTGAAGTCTTTCGGCACGCTGAAAGTACAAAATGAATAAATAAAAAAAGTTACATGGATAGACACAGACTTACGTAGACAAGAAACTTACTTTTGCATAACGACGTCCTGATAGATGATCTGGTCGGACATCGTGAAGGTCTTGAGATTCAGCAGATAGATGTTGCCGCCCTCGGTACCCAGCAGCAGATGATCGCCGTTCGACTCCAAGCACATGGCTGATATTTTTTTCAGCTTGCCCTCGTTGTGGAGCGACTTCGTTTCGATCACGGAGTTTTCGTTTATTTCCCATAGATGCAACGAATTATCCTCGCATTGCGATATAACACGGCCCTATCATGCAATACATAACAAAAACAGTCGTGTGAGCATATAAAACGTTGAAATTATCGTTGTTGGAAAATCGAAGAGGGTATTTTCAAAGTCTTCGACTTTGCGAGGCAAGTATTATTATATATGTGTACGTCGCGCGCGGAATGTGTATATCGGTAATTATGCGCGATTGAGAACGCGCGCGCGTACCACTTCTTCTTCTTCTTTTTTCGCACGCTCGCTCTCGAGCACTGTACTACTGCTAAATAGGGTTGCAGACGTACAAGAGCGAGTTGAGTTGTGACACACGCGCGCGCGTAAAAGAGCGACGCGAAGTAAAAAAAAACTCATCATAACAACGTGTAATACGGATCGGTATGTATACGAAAGATCGAAAAATCGATCGGTTACATGGCGCGCGGATAACCGAACTTCCGCGTATTGTACTCGTAAATGCGTCAACTTCTCTCCCTTCGCGCGCACGTGTATCGTTATAGCTAAGCGGTCGAATAGTTAAACAGATGCAAATTTATAATATATAAATTTCGAAGCGAAGAAGGAGAGAAAAAAGCATGCGCGCGGCACGTAAGGTGCGAATGTGTATAAGAAAACACGCGAAACGCGCTTCGATGAGTCACTTCCCGCAATTACGAAAGAATGATTCATTTCTACGGTGTATCGATACTTTCACTGCTGCTACGTTATATGTATTATATTATGCGCGTTTTTCCGACCGATCGTGTCCCAAATCTCGCGTATACATTTTATCATAAGTATTATTGAATCGCACAAAGCTCTATATGGCCCACGCGTGTATGTAACGCGAATAATCGATGCACGAAGAAAATAACAGCCCTTTTATAAACGCACAGCAGTAGCAGCATACGAATCGCACGGCGCTCTCGTTCTACATTCGCGCTCGCTGCTGCTGCAGCTGATGCCCGGAATTACGAACGCGACCCCCACACATATTTACAATGTGTACATATAGGTAGGTGAGGTACTCGCGAGTGCGCGTGTCGGGCACGAGTCTCTCGCTCGTTTTATTTAAGCTTCTCGCTTTTTTTCGCACGCACTCTCGTAACCGTGATGATGATGCACTCACACACAGACACGAGTGTGTGTACATCGAGTACGAAGTAATGAAAAAAAAAGATGAGGCACATACACACACACGGAGCAACAAAGCCATGTAAAGGGGCGTTGCTGTTGCACGCCACAGGTTCGCGTGTACATTAATATGGACGTGTATGTGTATACAGGCGGCGGCTGCCTGTCTTCGCATATCGAAGGCAAATTACGCGCGGCGTGGCTGTGTTTTGTGTGTAGCGCGCATTACACGCGAAAGAGTGAATATGTACATGAGCATTTCATAAACGCATCTGTATGGAGTCACAGATTTTCAAAAGATATGCCTATTTTGAAACTGCAAGCCGGTATACCACTTACCGATGCTTATTAAATTATATGCTGACACGTTACCGGCGTACAGACCTTGACATCGCGTTTACGCAATATAATTTCGGCCCGGCTAAATATGATATTGCGCTATGCTACATTGATATCAGCTATGTATAATAGCATAAAAGTTTATTGTATTTAACGCCAAACGATTGACATGCATATCACACAACTATATGGTGTACGACGACTCGAGCATGAAAAAATATAATACATATGATACAATACAGCGTGTATCGATTTATCCATCGTCAAACTTGCGAGCGTGACTCATGCCTCGATGCGATCGTGCTCGTATATCGATGCGTTAAATATCCGTGTGTGTGTGAGTGCGTAACATGGGGGAAAGAAAAAAAAGAAGCAGATATCTTACCTCATTAGGCAGTGCGATGATTTTGGTCACGGCGACTTCGCCGCTCTCGCCCGAGTGCTGTCCGTAAAATTCGACTCCAGGCCTGCCAAAACTGATTTTATTGAAAAAATTGTTTCGAGTTAAGGAAATTAACTTGGCTCATTCGTGTGCATATGCATTTTTTATTTATTTATTGCGGGTGCTGATATTCTGGAAGTTGAAAATTTTCGCAGAAAGTATACGCGCGCACGAGTGTGATGTGTATAATATCATAAAACGAGAGCACGCGCGCATCATCGTCGTCATCAGCATCGTCGAGTTCGTCGTGTCTGCGATGCATATTATAACACGTCCGACAATAAAACTCGCTGACACGTTTATTATGAATTTTTTTTCTGTTTCTTATTCTTTTTTTTTTTGCTTCTGTTTCTCCTCTCGTATCGCCCGCTCGTGTGCACGTTTTACAGTACAAATACAAAATATCGCTTGTGTGTATATTTAATAATTCGCAATATGTGTCGCGCGCGATTATAACGAGCGCCAGAGCCGAGACGATGTATTTAACACACGAGTTTTTTTTTCTTCGCCTTCGTATCTCTTTTGTTTGGATTTCAATGGTTCCTTTTTTCTTGTCCCTGTACACCGCTTTGAGAAATTTATATAGGTTTTTACGGCATTCCAAGCAGCAGCAGCGACCTGTGCGAGGATTTTATAATTTTAAAAGACAGATTATTGTAAAATAAAGCCTGTACGGTTCGTTCTTTCCGAAGGCGTTGTAATAATATCTTTTCGTCGAACGAGGAGGCCAATAATAAAGAGAGTCCCCCCCTGATCTTTTCATGTAACGCACGTCGTCGCGAACGTGTCCGACAGGTACACTTTTGTACTTTTTTAACCGAACGCGAAACTCTTCTACGCTCTCGCATATCTATTTTTTGCTGTCGGTGCACGCCCTTTCGCTCGGTCACATTTTTGGAGCATTTATCGATTTAGAGAAATTCCGTGGCTCGTCGTATATCTGCGCCAATTATATTAATGCGCGTAGTCGAGAGTCGATTAAAATTTGACCGTCTGGTTTTTGTGTGCTGGACGCAGCGTTATTGTTTGTTTAACCCGCCGAACTACACCCATGTTTATACTTTCTCGCCGCGGCCGCGGCTGCGGACGACGACCGCGACGACGTTAGCGGGAACGTTTTCAGCGTCCGTAGCAGTCTAAACAATTAATCAAGTTTATAATACAGAGAGAAAGGATGTGTATGTGTGTGTGTGTCTGCTACGCAGAAGGAGCGGGCACTACCTCCTGGGTGCGCGCGCGGGCGAGCAAATTAAGAGAATCGAGAATAAGAAACTATACTTTACTACGTGCACAAGAGATGAATGGTCAGCCAGGGGGAAATACAGTTACGCGCTCGCCTATTATCCTCGTATATACGTACGATATATCGCGCTATGCTAGGCCTCGCTCGTGCCTCTGTGACTCGGGCGCGCGCGCGCGCGAGCGAGGGTGTGCGCGAAGCGTATAAAATACCGACGCATGCACACATACACACTCAAACTGAGGCGGCGGCGGCGGCATCGTTCATAATATACGTATTAAAGGCTTTATAATGCCGTTTTGTTGGAAAAAAAAGGAAGACGGAAAAACGAAGGAGGAAAGAGAAGTACGTATATAAAAGGATACACTTTGATGGCTCCGGAGGCCGTGCCGATTATCATGAGCCTGAGACTCGGATCCCATGCGATGGCCGTTGGCTTGTTTGGGAAGCCATGCTGAACCGTCTGGAACAGAAAGAGAGATAAAAATAATATTACTATTAAAAATCATGTGTGTGGAAATATTATCTTCATGTATGTATGTGCGCTTATTATTGAGGCTAAAAAAATTGCGATTCGCAGAGGCCGCAGAGCTTACAACCGATTTACCGAATTTTGCGCCAAAATTACCCGCGCGACTTTCTGTCCACACGTCATGGTAGGGGGTATCATCTGGCTTTGTAAAACCGCGCGTGGTAAAAATTTTGGGTGTGGTGTGGTGGTTTATGTCACATGCACACATACAGAGACAGCAAACACAAACTCGCATGTGTACAGGCTGCACGAATTGGCTGATAGCAAGTAATTTATTACCTTAAAATCGTCACTCAAGGCTTTCAAATTAAAAAACATAAAACAAAATAAATAAACCCAAATAAATGAGTAAAAAACAAAATCAAACGGCGACAGTGTGTATACACTCGTATCTTTGGGCAAGATATGCATAATGAGCAGCGAGCAAATGTACGTATAGATATATATAATGCATATACACTATACACGCGTTTCTCTCGAAGCCGCGCGGCGCGCGTGTCCCTTCGCGTAAATTTCAAGAAAATCAAGATCCAGTTTACATTTGCACGTTTTCAAGGCCGATACACTCGCAGACACACACGAACAGAGTTCGCGTATTATAATAATGTATAATCGAAAGCTCTCCTTCTCTCGCGCAGCAAAACGAGTCTGTATAAATTCACCGTGACTATATATATTGCGCGATAATTTCGATATGTAATTTTTCAACCATAGGTAAAGAATAAAAATAAAAATGTCATCTTTTTCTTTACGACGGTGAGATAAATCGTCGGAGCGCAACATAAAATATAGGCACTTCCTTTCGATTTTTTGTTATTACAGGGCTCGTCGCGAAGGAGGTGAAAAATAAAAATAAAAAGAACGCACGAGACCACAGGTATGGGGACTTTTCGCCTCATTACAATATGTGTATAAACTCGTATATCGGCGGAACGTTCGTGCAGCAGCATCAGCCGCGCGCAGCCCTGAGACGACGATGAGTCAGATTTTGCGACTCGATTAATATGTCGTGATTTACGGCGAGTGCGTTATTACTTTTGCCTATTGTATACGCGGCTGTGTACATGCGCGTATAACCCGATACAATAAGTTCCGCGACCTATTGTTGCGGCTTGATCTTGATGGTCGTTATGAAATTAAAAAAAAAAAAAAGAACCAAACAAATAGCGATCACAGAAATCATAACATCGATCGGTACAATAGGGTTAGTTCAACGATCGCTTTAATTGGGCTCAATTATTGTGTCCAGATTCAGCTGGATCATAAAGCGAACAATTTTTTTTTTATTTAATTTTGTCGCGGCGTTGCGACGTTTAATATATTATTACATATATGTCTCGTATCGTCGCGTGCGGCGCACACGCGGATGCACACGCGCGCGCGCGCGCGACTTTTTCTGTCGTTCTTCGCTCTGCCTCGAGCTGCTTAAATATACTGCTGCTGGAATTACGCGACGTGAGATATTCTCTATTGTGTATTATTCATATCGCCGTCTAATGTGTTTTCTTTCTCTCTTTTTCTTTTTCTGCAAGGTTGAGCGATTAATCGCCGAGACCTTCTTGCTTTGCCTATATAAATGTACATATAATATATAATATAGAGAGTAAGAGAGAAGGCAATTAATTAATCTTCGCTGACATTGTCGTTTTATTGTTCTATACCGTCTTTACCCTAGTTTTAACCTAATGTAATATATATGTCGGACAAACAAGCGGCAAACGTAAATATACGGATGCGACGTTTAGCCGTGTACTGCGCGACGATATAGATTTTCTTATCGACGCTCAGAGCGGCGCGCTTAGAAAGTTTATCGAAGCAGACGAGAGTTCAGTAAAATGAAAGAAAAAAAATTGCATACATTACACTTATCCGTAGAAAAAAATGCGCGATAACTATAAAACGCGATTTCGTCAGAGAAACTATACGTAACGCGTAAATACTCGAGCAGCGCGACTCACTCGCGCTCTTATTAATAGATAGAAAAAAACCACCGAAAATTGCTCGGCTTCTATATAATATAAATTTCGCAAAATTAGCGCGCTCGTTGTGTGTACCTCGAACTGACAAAAAAAGAAAAAAAATTATATTTACAAGCTTTCGCGCTCGTTTTCGTGGTCTCTCGTGGAGGAGAGCAGGAGCGGCAGCGGCGGCAAAATTTTACGATAACAAAATTGAGCCCGAAGCCGGCCTTATAATACAGTGCAATAATGTATACTCTCTCGCGATAATTTGTTAACGCGAGCGCGCGCTTTCATGATTTCACCGAAAATTGCTTTTTGAAGCTTTTTTTTCTCTCTCGTTTTTAACAAGCGCCCGTTCGCTCGCGGACGAGTACATTTTTTTTCTTCGTCTTTATCTTTGAGAAAAACTTTCTTTCCGTTCTGTCGCTATAACTCGAACAAACGTCAATAGGAACGATTCCATCGATGATTATTAAAAAAGCAAATAAAGAAAAAAAATGACAACTATTCAAACGAGCGACCGATGAATTAAAAGAGCCCCGCGTCGCCTCGCTGTGTATATGGCAGATTGTTTGGATACGCCGCACCCGCAAATTATACCGTTATAGAAGGCAGACATACGCATAGCCTACATTAAGGAAAGGTGCATTACTCTTTTCCCTACGTGGTGTATACTCGAGGCTTGCGATGACTCATTTTATAGGTACACCACACACAAGCACACGCAGACGTGAAATATAAGATCGATAGTCTTGTACGGCTGTACATAGTCCGTTTGCGCGACGACTCACCTATACGGTGAAAATTGACGATAAGAAAAATCATAATATATGGCCAGCCGAGAGAGTCGCTTCATTAATCCTTTTTTTCTCCCTCCTTGCATTTCGCCATTCATTTTCTTTTCACGTATACAGTCATACGCGTATAATGCGCTCTGCAGAGCGCGAAGAAAAAAGCCTCGGAGCTTTTAATTAATTTCGCGCGATAGGAAAACGCTAACGAGGCCGATAATGTACTTTTATATACAGCCACGGTTAATACACACACGTGAGTCGTGGAAAATGATTCACGCTCTCGAATCGGACGATACACGTAAATTGTAAAGTACTGTATAGCCGCGAGTTACGCGCGATACAAGAATTTACTGAATTATGTACGCGCTGCTCGCACGTTCGGAAATATAAACAACAAAAAAACGAGAGAGACAGAGAGACCACTTGTGCTAACAGTCTTGATGGATAATTTCGAGCGCTTGGACAGCTAGTACACAAGTTTTTTTTTTCTCTTGTCTCGTAATGTATACCTACTCCAATTGGCACATATTCCGAATGCTTCTTAAACTCGAAATATTTCCTAACACCGCGAAGCTTCTGCTCTCGAACTTGTGTTGTGCGCGCGTTTGAGGAAAAAAAGAACAACACTCGAACGAAGAGAGAGAACGTGATTAGCGATTGAAACATCTGTTAGAGAGAACGAATTCCCGAGGCTCACTTGAACTTGAAAAAAAAAAGAAAAAGAAAAAAAAAGAAAATGATCCTTAGCAGTCGGCTTGTATATTTACGAATTCAGCCGTGCATCGGTGCCGATGCTTCTTGCGTAGGTTTTAATCGCGTACATAGAAAGTATAGAAGACGAAGAAAAAGCATAAAAGTCATCGGGAGAGTTGCAAAAGTACAACGACGAACGAGAATAAGAGGACGACGAGACAGAGGAGGAGGTAGAGACGACGAGCCGATGCTGTGTCTTGCAAGCGCGCGCGAGCGAGCGAGCGTTCCGGCATCGTCGTAAAAAAGTTAGGTATAAGGAGTGAGAGAGAAAGAAAGAACTATAAGGCCAAGGGCATGCTGAGTTATAAGCGCGCGCGAGAAGAGGAGTCGTCCTCTTCGTGATGCAGCTCGGCTCTCTCGGATTCTTCCTCTCCCTCCTCTCTTTGGTTCATAGGTTGGCTGCATCGTGCAGCAGCCGTGTGAGTGTATGTTGTGGGTTTATCCGCTTATATATACTTGCAGCGCAGTGCAGCAGTTTATCGTATTGCCCTTTTGCCGAGAGTCTCTCGACTCCGTTTTCCTCCTCCTTTTCTCTCGTTGCTGCTCCTGCTGCATACTCGTAAACATCATAGCGAGTGAGGCTGAGCAGCAGCAACAGCAGCAGCAACGTGTTATGAATTTTTTTTTTTGTTACTCCTTTTTTCGATTCGACAAAACGATCATGAGCGAAAAGCTTATATAGCATATTGTACATCTCGTCTCGTGCTTTGTTCTCGCGCTTCAATCTTTATTTTATTCTTGCCCATCGCATTTATACAAAAAAAAAAAAAGGAGTAGAAAGAAAGAACGAGAAAACACTGCATTGTAAAACTAGCGCGTCGAGCTTAGTGACTTTAAAATTCAAAAATACGAAATGTGTGCGTCAGAGCGAGCGAGCGAGCAGACACACATATAGCACACGCGTGCCTCGGCGAGATATGTGCTGCTGATAAGCAGAGTTGCAGTCGCATGTGTGTATACTGCTATACGTGTGTATATAATATCAGTATATAGTTTGCGTTTTTGAGACAAGCTCCTACTACTATATTATCGTGCCTCCATATACAAGTACACAGAAAATTTTCTAACCGCTCGCAAGTGACAACGACGACGAGGGACCTTTGTAATATCATTTTGATACGAAAAGAAAAAAAGAGATAATTATATCGCTATCGTGTGTGTATTAACACTAATATCATCTCGCCTGGTAGAATTGATATAATATATGGGTTATTAGTATCTGTCTCTGAAGAATAGTTTTGTTTGACATTGAACCATTGAACGACCGAGTATGTAGATCGGAGTGAATAATATCGGCATTTCTAAATGAACTAATTTCAAGATAATAAAAGTACGTCGTTTTCTCGACGTTTCGATACGAAATGTTATAATATGCGACGACGACTGGTCTATCATACACAATGGAATGCCAATTGCGGGGGGA